TTTGGAATACGTTTGAGTAGTATACGTTGAGTATTTTCATGCATTTTCGTGAAATTTTTCTAATTTATGAGAAAAAAGCAGTGCACATGGATATAGTAAAGAGTGTGCGCAATGCCATTTTTGTGCAATTCTGGGATGTTTTTTTAAGTAAAAATAAGTCGATGTGTACATGGTTTAGTGATATTTTAATTAAATGATAGTTATTTTGTGAATTTTATGTTTGTAGGAATTTGGTATACGTTTCAGTTGAAGTAAACGTGTACGGAAATAATTTAAATATTTGACACTAAGTATTTGTAACTATTTTTAATGTTCGCATATAAATTCGTTGCTGATGTTTATAATATAATAGATAATTTAGAGGTAAAAGTTTTTGGATATTTTATTTATTTTATACGTGGAAAAGTTAATCCTTGGAAAGGGTATATACTTTTTCGCAATGAGGTAATTTCATATATGTTCTTTTTACCGGATTTAAAGATTCACAAAATTTTCATGCATTTTCGTAAAATTTTTCTAATTTATGACAAAAAAGCAGTGTACATGGATATAGTGAAGAGTGTGTGCAATGCCATTTTTGTGCAATTCTGGGATTTTTTTAAAGTAAAAATAAGTTCGACGTGTACATGGTTTAGTGATATTTTAATTAAATGATAGTTATTTTGTGAATTTTATGTTTGTAGGAATTTGGTATACGTTTCAGTTGAAGTAAACGTATATGGAAATAATTTAAATATTGACACTAAGTATTTGTAACTATTTTTAATGTTTGTGTATAAATTCGTGGTACTTTTCCGTTTTGCCGGCGCAAGCGATAAAGTCGCCAATAATGGTAGAACCGATGCCAAACGGAATATTCTCGCTGGTAACCTCATTCAGATAGTTCAGTTTTATGTCTAAGGCCATTTTCGGCAATTAAATCAATTAGGATGCAATCACAGCGCTTACCCGAAGCCGAAAATATAGAAAAGGTAAAGTCAAGGGTTAAATTCATCAATTCTAATGAGAATGGATTAGCGAAGTAAAGCACTGCGGTTTACATAATTTCTGAGTAAGCTATTCGTACGAATTGAATTCTTGCATTTAAACTTGTGTTCCAAATTAAGATTTAACTTGAAATTAATGTAGATAATTACTGAGAGCATTATATTTTTGTAGAGTAATATACGTGAGATGAGATCGCTTGGGGTCGCGTGATATGAACCGGCGAAACAGGATGTTGAACCATGAAAGCATAGTAAATTCTTAAATTAATGTCTTTTTATAAATTTATTGTCTTTATTTATTGGCTTTTTATAAAATTTTAAGCGATATTAAAATATTTATGCCTTCAAAAAAAGAATTCTTAGGACTAACATTTTTTTAAATATTTTTTGTGTGTATAATGTATGTTGTCGCCAATAAAGTCTGCTTGGCGAGATTTGCGCCGGTGAAACGGAAAAGTACCAAATTCGTTAGTGACGTTTATAATATAATAGATAATTTAGAGGTAAAAGCTTTTGGATATTTTATTTATTTTATATGTGGAAATGTTCATCCTTGGAAAGGGTATGTACTTTTTCGCGATCAGGTAATTTCATATATGTGCTTTTTATCGAGTTTAAAGATTAAGAAAATTTTCCTGCAAATTTTTGTAATTTATGAGAAAATAGCAGTGTACATGGATAAAGTTAAGAGTGTGTGCAATAGTGTGTGCAATTCCATTTTTGTGCAATTCTGGGATTTTTTTAAGTAAAAATAAGTCGACGTGTAAATAGTTTATGTGTATGTGCTATTCTGAAAAACGCGCTAGGAGTTTGCGATTCTGCACTTTTTCCCAATTTTGCAGTTAATATTTGTCATGATTAAGCAGTTTTGTTACATAAAATTTCTAGCATCAGTGTAATTCGGCTAGTAGATTGTTGGAAAAAGTGTTGAGTAAATAAAAAGAAAAGAAACATATTTTTACTTCGTGAAGACAAAATGGCGGCGGAAAAAAATAGAGGGTTGCTGTAGCAGAGTTGGTCGCCAAATTTTTCGCCAAAAAATCGCCAAGTTACCATAATCCAAAGATCAACCAAAACAAATCTAAGCAAGCAAGTTTCATCATACAATGTGTGTGCAGAGACAACCAGTGATCCACTTGACGGCACCGTAATGGAAAGCATAAAGCACGAGTTTTCTTACATATCATTATTTCTAGCATGGCTTTCAGAAGGCATGCCTACATACAGTAATCAAGAAAAGGTGGACTTGCATTTTATGCATTGTTTAGCCAACGGGAATGCTCTAGAAGCCGAAAGACTGTTCACACAGTGTTTTCCAACTGGACACATGCCAGACCGAAAAATGGTTGAGCGATTGCATCGGTGCCTGTGAAACGGGATCCTTCGTCACTGGCATGCATGATACAGGGCATGGCAGGAGTGTGCAGATGTCACAAGTTGCAGAGAATATTCTGCAAAGATTGCAAGTGGTTTCCCGTGCCGTAAATGTGTCCCGCTCGGTTGTTTAGTGAGTATTACAGGACGAAGGATTACACGTCTACCATGTACAGAAAGTGGAAGCCTTAATACCCGCAAATTATGCGCTACATGTCGAGTTTGCACGTTCATTTTTCAACAACTAGCAGCATAGCCCGATTTCAGTGCAATGTGTTATTCGTGGATAAATGCAACTTTACTCGTGAAAATGAATGCAAATTTACTTATTATTTCCAATACATATCTTCAACATCCCTTAAATTCCATGAGTTTTAAAACCCACCTGGGTTATTCTGCGGACACAATATGTTGCTCGATCAAAACTTTTGCAGAGATTTTTGGTCGAACGTTGGAGGATACCTGCACGACAGACGATATTTTTTACTCTTATTTATGTGGTGATGCCGGTATATAGATTCTAGTTCAGACAATTTTAAGGAGTTTTTGAATGCTGTTAAGGAATTTTGTTTGAATGAAGACATGTTAATTTGTAAATAAGTTAAGTGGATATTTCTTTTGTGTAATTCCTAAGATGAATTTCCTTTTTATGTTATTTCATTGTTTGGTTTAAAATGTAGTTTATATATTTTTTTTTGGCTGCTCCTTTTGACTTTTAAGCAAATATAGATCAAATTGTACATGGACAAAGTCAAGGGAGTGCACAATGCCTAGTTTGTGCTATTATCTGATGTTTTTTTTTAAGTGAAAATAGGTCGATGTGTACATGGATACCGAGTTCATGCAATTCTTTGACTTGTTTTTTTAGATTTGTGTAGTGGCAACACAAAGACAAAATAACAAGTCCAAGAATTGCCCAAACTCACTGTCCATGTATCACTAAAAATCACCAATTATCGCCAAGGGGCACCCATGAATATATTTGTACCGCTATAGATGGATTTGTAGGTAGGAAAGGTTATGATCTTTTACAGTTAAGAAAAAATGTTGGAGAGGATTTTTAGTTTCATGTTTAATATAAAATGGCTGCATAAAAAAAAAAAAAAAAAAAAAAAAAGTCTGCCCGAGTTTTAACTACAGTATTTAGCTGATTTATCCACTGGTGATTCAATGTGAATGAATTCTAAATTAATAATAATAATAAGGTAATACTGATGTATGTAAGTGGTGAGGTGAGATAATCTGTCCTCGGTTACATCACTCGATGTTAAATATTTCAAATCCTAAACTGAATGAAAACCAAATTTAAAAAAACAGATGCGGCAGACCGGAACGAGTTTTGTCAAGAATCAATTACATGAAAAGTTTCAAAAATATACGAATAAATTTAAATGTAAACATATGCCTCAACCTAATCGCTGATCTATAATATGTGATATAATCTTACAGATCTTATCTAAATCATCCTTACACAAAGACGAATTCGTAAACTTAGCTGGTAAGGGTACACAGAAACTTTACTAAAATATTAAACTCGTTATAACTTATATGACACGTATTCTTACAGTAACCATTATCGTTACTGTAAAATAACAGTACTTTCTTCAGAAAAATGCACTTTTAACAGTCACCTTACGAATTACATAATAGTTTATAAATACGATTACCTTTTGTCCAACCATACTTTTCCAACTGTTTTCTACCAAATTCATTCATTTTTTGTAATTAATTATAAGAACACACTATTAATTAGGTATTTATATTATTTTTTACAATAATTTAAATAACCCCCTTGGACACCGATACATAGAATAGACTAATTTATTGTTTTGCATCTGTTAAGTCTATCTGCCTGCATGCCGAAAAATCAATTAGCGTTTCAAAACAGAACAGCTTCTTGCGCGAACATTTTTTCAATGGACTGTGCTAATACAGATTTTAGTATGTCGTATAATTGCCATTTACACATTTTCATCTACCTACATTTTATTGAATTTAAAACCGTTATTTACAATCTTTGTGATTTTTCTATGTACTAAATAGAAAATAATTTATATTAAGGATTAAAATTAGAACGGAATGATGAAAGCCAACTTATAAACAACACCGGTCAGTATGTAAAAACAATCAGAAGCTCGCAGCGGCCATGATAAGCCAGGACATCAAACCGCACTTCATAGCTTCATTTTCATTGCAGAAGTGCATCTTGACTTCTCAGAGCTATTACATAGTTTTTTAAGGAGCCTTATAATGAATGGTACATGAAATGTCTTCCTTCAGGAGGATTTGCGTTGGCATTTCGCATGACACTCCTATTGATAGATGGCACCACTGACCCATTTTTTTCAACCATCACCGATCGTAAAGCAAAACAATTTTTAGATCATGAAAAGACAAATGTTACCAGTTTCCAGGCACATTTACTTTTTTAAGGGTTGTTTTATATTATATTAAATTAATAGTATATAGCCATATATGTGTCTATAGATTAATAGTATATAGCATTATATTTAGACCAGTTAAGAGTTTGAGTTTATAAAACGCCACAACCATTCGGCTTTCCATATGTTTCACAGTAAATTTTTACATATTTTACAGAAAATTTCCTTCATTCTTGCTTCGAACTTATGATTTTAGGGTATTTAAATTCTTTTGGCAACTCCTGGTAAAAACGTCATATTTCAAATTACTGTGTTGCTAATCCTCAGCAGAAGGTAAACATGGCTGCTTCTTTAGAAAGTGTGATTTTGAGTTTGTTGCAAAATACGACAAATGAAGGTCAGGCTGAGGTAAGTTTTCATTGAAATAAAAATCTGTTTTCGGAGGAAGATGAGGTACCTTCAATAGAAAAGTTCATGTATTTTTTACATTGTTGCTCCACGTGGCCCGAGTCCGTACGCACCTTCAATATCGCCGGTGACTGAGTGAAATGGAATTCTGTGAAAAGTAGCTCTTACTTTTTATAGAATACTGTGAAAAAGAAAATATTTTATAATTTTTATCTTAAATATTAATTTGTTTTCTACATTCATTATATATTAAATATAGTATACTTCTGAAGGTATGAAAGGACAAATGCACAGTTTTATATACCAAATTATTATTTAAGTATGCATAACATAACAAATTGATATTAACCATTCATCCTTATTTAATAATTATAGGTATGGTATAGAAAAAATTTAACCGTTCCTTACAATTTTACCGTATGATATTATTAAAATTTAATTAACCCAAGAGGACGCGCGCTGTATTATGTAACACGAGAACGCGCATGGGGTGTCAACACACCCCAAGCAATTAAATAACGTACAAATTAAACATATTACTGCAATTCAGTAAAAGAATGCATTCTATATTAATTGCAACATTTATTATATGAAGTATCGTAAAATAATGTTAATTTTAAAATTAAAAACAAATCATTTTTTTCAATGAGTAGGAATCATTGATGTCTATGAGAAATTTTTGTTTTTGATTTGTGAATGCAATTATAATTCAAATTATGCAGAATTATTACATGAACGAGTTATTTAATTAATTTTCAAATCAATTGGGCTCAAGAAGCATTAGATATGTTGTAGTTTATACATGAAGCATCTATTTCACAGTGCTCTTGACATTTTTTTTTACACTTCACACATTAGTTTTTGATTTTCTGTCTTTTTGGCTTGAGCACATGTAACATCTCCAGCATTATAATTTTTTATCTTTGTTTGTGGTTCATCAAATCATTTTCTGTAAGAAATTGGGCAATTCATAACTGGTATACCAAGTCGTCTGCGGTAAAGTTGCTTCCAGATTTCTATAACGGAGCTAAGATACGCTTTGCTATTTCACTAGAACTGTTGACTTTCTTGTATGACCCATCTGGCTGCTGATCTGTGTAAATTTCCATGTTAAAAGTATAGAAGGTTCTAGAATCAACCACAGCAAATATCTTTATACTATATCTTGCAGGTTTCTTAGGTATACTCTGCAGTCAAGTCTTGACAAAATTTTCAAATAAATCTCTTATTGGAGCTAATTTTTCACTCTTTCTTCTGTTATCTCGTATTTTGACATCATCAAATTATAAGGCATGAAGAATGAAAAGAAAACGCTTATAGTTCATAGTTTTGCAAAAAATATCCAATTCTGTGCGAGCAGTTGCCCATAAATCTCAAACATATGCATGGGAGCATTTGTGAAATTCAGCTGTGTATAAGTGCCCTAAAAAAGCAGTTTTGCGTCTCTTTCTCTTTTAAAATTTCCCAAAATTTTTTTTACATAAACATTACAGCATTTCACCATCATTGTGTCATTAAATAATAGGATCCATGCATCGATGGGTGAAGATGCATCTTTAGATATATGTGTATTGTCAAGCAAATTTTTTATGATATAATGGGACACATGCATCGTTGACCTCGAAAGGGTCCTTTCTGCCACTGCATTGGTTTATCTTTTCCTATAAAATAGTCAATTTGATCATAAGGAATGTCTTCTGAAGAGTCGCTCTTTTCTTCTGATACAGACTAATGATCACTAAATATATCTTCATTATCTGAATCTCCTAATTCATCTTTTACAGAATCTTTATCGGACGAAGCCTCCTCTTAATAAGTTTTGAAGTATTTTCATTTCTTGATCATACGTCAAATGAGGAAGAGACCGAACAGAACGACTCGAATACACCTATGGCTCGCACTAAAAAATAGCAACACGAAAACGCGCTTGGGGTGTTGGGACACCCCAAACTATTACTTAAACCACAATAAATCCTGGAATTTGCCGTTTCCACTTGAGACGTGTAGAACATGATCTTTGAGGCAGCTACTGATGGACCTAACCATTTCGGATTTTGGAGGGAGATCACAGCGATTTTTTTTTTTTTTTTTTTTTAGCGTGGGGTGCCGAAACATCCCACGCGCGTCTTCCCGGCTTAATAGTGATATGTAAGGTATAAAAATATTTAACCTAACTAAAAAATTTTGTATACGTCATATTCAATTTTACTTAATATGGTATACAGAATTTTGATATAAATTCTTTGAAATGTATATCTGTATTTAAAGGGTTGTTTTCTAATCAGCAATCTTTTGTTAAAATTTACTTGTTTTAACTCTTGTGTAAAGGACATTAGTTACTGATTTTGGAGCAGTTTCAAAAGTGATACTTTCTACATCTTTAATGAGTAACAGGGTTGTCTCATGATGCGATAATTACCATCATGGGCGATTTGTTTAGTGAGAGAAAGTGTGTAGAATGTAGGCAAGGAATTTCAATAGCAAAAAAATTCGCGTACAGTTACATAAGTACAGGTAGTTCATATTTTAAATGGCCAGTGTATAAAGTACAGGTAGTTCATATTTTAAATGGCCAGTGTATAAAGTACAGATAGTTCATATTTTAAATGGCCAGTGTATTAAGTACAGGTAGTTCATATTTTAAATGGCCTGTGCATGTCTTCATATTTCAGTAAAGGTAATGCGGTTGGATCCTAGCAGAGCCCACAACTGTTGACGCGAATGATTTTCCGTTTTCCGTCCGGTACTTTTCCGTTTGGCTGGCACAAGTGATAAAGTCACTCAAAACGGTACAACTGATGCCAAACTGAATATTTCGCTAATAACCTTTCACAGCACTTTTTCAAAACAAGTCGCTGAGATTTCTTATCAGATTGATCGTTTCTTTCAATATTGGCATGTAATTACATAGAATTTTTTAAATTATAATATTAAAATAATTCTTGCATTTTAAACTCATATTGCATACTAAGATTTAACTTGAAATTAATGTAGATAATTACTCAGATAATCAGATTTTTGTAGCGTAGTTTACGTGAAATGAGATCGTTTGTGATCACGTGATATTAACTGGCGAATCAAGAAGTTATGCTATGAAAGCATAGTAAATTCTTAAATTAACATCTTTAAATTCTTAAATTAACATCTTTAAATTCTTAATGTCTTTTTACGGTTGATCTTTACATTATGGTAACTTGGCGATTTTTTGGCAAAAATTTGGCAACCAACTCTACAGCAACCATCTATCCCCCCACCGCCATTTTGTCTTCACGAAGTAAAGACATGTTTCTTTTCTTTTTATCTACTGAACACTTCTTCCAACAATCTACTAGCCGAATTACACTTATGCTAGAAATTTTATCAAACAAAACTGCTTAATCATGACAAATATTCACTGCAAAATTGGGAAAAAGTGCACAATACCATACTCCTTACGCGTTTTTCAAAATAACACATACACATAAACCATGTACACGCCGACTTATTTTTACTTAAAAAAACATCCCAGAATTGCACAAAAATGGCATTGCGCACACTCTTCACGATATCCATGTACACTGCTTTTTTCTCATAAATTAGAAAAATTTCACGAAAATACATGACAATTTTCTCAATCTTTAAACCCGGTAAAAAAGAACATATATGAAATTAACCTGATCGCGAAAAAGTATTTACCCTTTCCAAATATGAACATTTCCACATATAAAATAAATAAAATATCCAAAAACTTTTACCTCTAAATCATCTATTATATTACAAACGTCACCAACGAATTCATACCGCAACCTTTACAAATACTTAGTGTCAGATATTTAAATTATTTCCATGCACGTTTACTTCAACTGAAACGTATACCAAATTCCTACAAACATAAAATTCACAAAATAACTATCATTTAATTAAAATATAATTAAATTCAAAAACACTACTTAAAATATAAATGAGCACATACATTAAATTAATAAAAATTAATAAAAAATGCACTCTAAATTCATTGCAATAATTTTTTTTTGTGTAACATTAAGTTCTTGTTTTATGTTTCCCAATAAATTTTTTAGTTACTACTTAATTGAGATTTACTAATGTAAGTACAATTTTCTTTTTTCTATTTGTATAAATTGTTATTTTTTTAATATCAAAGCATGATATTAAATCTTCGTGTTCTTCTGAATTTTGGAGATATCTTCTGAATTTGGGGGAGAAATCTTCTGACTTTTTATCTTTAGAGGTTGGCAGGTATGCTATTATATTAAAGTCAATAAATGGAAACATCGAAAAAGGAACTACAGTATATTCCGATGCATGGAAATAATATTGCACTGAAAAACTGGAAGAGGAAAGTTTTGAACATTTCAAAGTGAAACATAAATACAATTGTGTAGATCTGGAAACTGGAACGCTCATGCAAAAAATTGAAAGACTATGGGATAGTGCAAAATGGCAGAATAAGAAACACAGAGAACGGCACGTCATCATCTGGAAAAATTACCTTGCCGAATTTATGTAGAGAAAGGGAAATGACGAGGTTTACGCCGGCGAAACAGAAAAGTACTGATTTTGGTTATGATGTGTATCGATGTGTACATGATAAAGTCAAGGGAGTGTGCAATTCTGTGGTATTTTTTCAAGTGAAAATAAGTTGATGTGTACATAGACACCGAGTTTGTGCAATTCTTTGATTTGTTATTTTCAAGTTGCCAATTTTGAGAAACGTGCGAAACAGTGTGCACTTTCCCAGTTTGTGGGCTCTCCTACGATTTTAACAGGTAATGTAGTGGCCATATTTTCAGCATAAATGTAGTTGATACTTTTTAAAAGCTCAAAGCAGATACATTTTAAGTCAATTCATAAATTCTTGTCCCGGTAAAATAAAACCCTTGACACAGTCAGGTTTAGGAATTTAGAAGCAAATTGTGATATTTGTGTTACTACTATATGAAACATGATATGTAAAATTTATTTTTCACATATTTTTGTGCATATTGAATTCTTAGATTTCATTTAGCAAAACATACAATTTTTAACTTGTCTTTCAAATTCTTTCATTTCATTGGTCTATTTTTGGTTAACAAAATATGTGGTTACAAAAGACCTTGAATTTATCACCTATTGATTTTCCCATCCAAAAGGAAGATTTGCAAGCATATATATAATGCATTAAAAAATGAAAGTATGCATGCACTCAGCTGAATCTTGGACGGAATAGTGGTACTTTCGTATTACAGTACAAAGTCCAAAATCTGGATGCCCATTATCCGGAATGATCTAAAATCCGGACCTCAAAGCCTCCATCAATGTTTTTCAACAGCATTTACGCATGTGCATTTGATTCCCCCCCCTCTGTGCATAATAAAACATCTGAAGAGTCCCGATTCTTAATTTCACTTTGACACTAAATAAAATACCTTGTTATTGAAGAAACAATAATTTTAGCATAAATTTGTGCTATCAGCAATTTGGCTTCGTTGCTGCATATCTGCTTGGCACACATCTCAGACTGAAACATTTTACATAGATACATCTTTGATCTGAGACTAACCTGGCGAATCATTATTTATTATACTTTCCTTTCATTGTCGCATGTTTATCAAAACATGACAACTTGAGTAACGACTCGTGTATCAATGCCTTGATACATGATGATAAATAATTTTTTATGATAGTAATTGAATAATAAAGCTGTATGGTAACCTTTTATGTTGACATTACACTTGGTGATGATTACAAATTTTAGTTAAATGTACTAAAAATATTGACAAGGAAAAATTTACCAAAAATTTCTTTACCATGTGCTAAAAATGGATTTCACTCTTAGACCCCAACGATTACATTTAGGGCTATTTAAATTAAGAACGCATGGGTGCACCGAGTCGCAGAATTTAGGACCCACAGAGACTGCAACAGGCGGTAAGTTATCTAGCACTGGCCTTCAATAAGACTTAAGTATATGTGGGAATTTATTTATTCAGAACTCTGATAAGCATGTGCAAGAAATAGACATAGTATAATAAATAATAAACAAATACAATTCAGGCGTAATTGTCTCAGTGTGCAATAGAAGCAAGATAAAATTTAATGGAACAACTTATCGATAGTCGCCAAGCTCATGATGCATAGCCTAATAGGTATAGTGAAGGATAGCTAAATTTCATGATGATAGCCACTAATTTTAAAGGTTTTCGGATATCACAAAACAAAGGTGAAATTTTCCAATTAACAGATTTTGTAAAGAAATGTAGAGAAGCGGTAATTTCGTTTTTATCGTCTTCATAAAAATTCGTCTTCATTTGAAGATGATAAAAAAGAAATTTTTCATTGTGATGACAATGCTTCTCAATCATCAGTCAATGAATGGCGAAATCTGTGTATGGTTCTAGATCCAGAAAATACTGTTACCAATAGTGAAGAAAGTGACAGAAAAGTTACTGAAAACAAGAAAATTTCGATTGGCAAATTAGTCGTTACATGACTTCAACAATGTAACTGAACAAGAGATTATGTCTGTCTACAAAGTTAAAGAGAAAGTATTAGCACAAAAAACGAAAAAACAAAGCAACTTAAACAACTTACATTGAAAGAAATGTTCAATAAGGTAAACAAATATTAAGCTTTTTGTAAATTTTGATACCCTTTAGATCATAAATATTTCATAAATCACGATTTCATATTTTTAATTTTATAATTTCAACATGCCATCTTACTAAATTTAAACTGATGATCTAATATCTGGAAAAATCCCAAATCCGGAATCGCCGAAGTCCCGACGAGTCCGGATTTCGGACTTTATACTGTATTCTCACCCCTTTCGTGAAAGTTGCTTATTCCTTGGCAAGTAATTTTAAGCTAATGTATGAAAGACAACAGTCGTCTTCAAAATGGCAACACTTTAATAAAAGAGCAACTAATCAATAAAATCAAAATCGCAATAACAACTGTGTATTTAGTGTACATATATTAAAACAATCAATTTCGAGAGCAGCTAAAGGTCCCTCCCCATCAGGAGAATGAAATTACTAGAAAGGGGGAAAAAAGAAAATAAAGCATCGGCAAAGGAGTCTCAGAAACATGTGGTCGTAACCGGATTTAGCATCAGAGTTACACTGGCCGCCTACTTTTACTGAGTCAGGCTATCTGATCAAACATATAACACATAGACTGAAATGCAAAAAAATCAGCAAAGTAAAAAAATGGGAGCGAGGGGCAACTGCAGCTTCATGCACCAAGTCTGAACTTCGAATATTTTTATTGTTTTTATTAATTTTTAAGGAAGAATGGTAGATTGGGAATTTTTCTAAGGAATCAAAATAGTGCAGGAATTTGCTTTTTACTTTTAGGTCCTTTTTAAATAAATTTTAAAAATCTTTAATTTTTAATGTATATATATATTTAAGGTGAAGAATCCTTAAATAACTTTAAAATTGATTGAATTATGTCGTTCTTATATTCCGGTTAAGGTTTTTATTCCTGTAGTTAACCTGCATGCAATAGTTGTAGAATTATCAACAATTTAAAAGTGTAAATGGCACTAGGCCTAACATGGCAGCTCTTTGTTTACATCTGAAGTGTAAATTAGTCAGCCAGATGCTGCGGCAACTACAATGGCTTTTTACATAGTGGGACCAAAAATTAACTTTGAATTTTTGTGCCCTGGATATTTTGTCTTTTTTTGCCCATTGGCCGATTTCCTTGTTTTAGTGTAGAAGCTGTAATTCTAATTGAAAAAAAAAAAAAAAAACTGTGTTTTGGTGTTTTAGGTCTCTGCATTTTACAAAGTTTAATGGAAATGTTCAGAGTTTTTTATGTGTTTTTACCTTGCTGTGAAGTAAGAACTGAATTGATTGAATAAGAAATACATCTGTAATGAAATTTGAAGAAATAATTTTAAATGAAGTGCAGCAAAAAGTGTGTGTAATTTAATAAGAGGGTACAAGGATATTATGGTGGCCACATCAGATTTCTTTTGTAATGTCATTCAGACATTCATAGTTGTTATAGACATTGCCATATAAACTGTTCATTTCTGTAAATTATGAACTGTAATGTGTTTCAGTATAAAATCTTTGTTTAATGCATTCACACTTTTTAAAATCCTTGTTTTTGATTTTGAAGTTATTTTTGCAATTTTTATTCCCAGTTCTCTTTATTCGAATTCGAAATAGTGCCTAGTAAATGTTAGACATGATGAGAAAATATTATTATTAAATCTTTTTTTCAACAGGTTTTAAATTGGTATTTAATGTTTGTGGTAAAAACTTTTGACTTATGCAATGTATTTTTTGTTTCAGGGTTTCAAGCAGATTCAGAACTTATTTAAAGATCCAGCAGTAAACATTTCTTTGTGTAACTGTATGACCCAATCTGAAGATCCTCATGTGAGAAAATATGCTGCTCTTTTATTACGTAGAAGATTGTTGAAAGCTAAGTATTGGAGAAAAGTTTCACCTGATGTAAAACAAGGGTAATGTAACATTTTTCTTTTTAATGTTTTTGAATCTGAAAGTTTTCAAATTTTTTAAATAAAATTTTAATAGTTAATTGTAATTTTTTTTGTTAATGAAATATTTGTTTATTTCTTAAATTTAATGCCTATTGTTTATTTCAGGTTGAAGCAGAATATGCTGGAAGCTTACGTCAAGGAAACTGAGTAAGTTTGTTATGTGTTTATTTCAGAAATATCATATGTAAATTATAATGATATATATAAATGTAATAAAAATGGAACACTGAGACATAGAATTGCAGAAATACTTGTGGCATAGCACGTAGATAGCATAGAATGTAGATCCATATTAAAGAGGAAGAATTCTGATTGCGTAGAAAGCTAAAATGTTAAATCCATAATAGCTAGAAAACTTAGCTACCGAATAAGATTAAATATTCGTTTTTATTTCAATTGACATTTGTGGCTACAGTTTACTTGGCACTATAATCATGCCTATTTCCAGAACATTTATATTTTTGATACTGTTGTGACAGGAGGAGGGAACAGCAAAATAGCATCCAAGTAGCAACAGAAGTAGAAGCAGAATTGCACAATTATCCAGTATGGAAGCTCACAAAGAGAGGATTTCATGTAGGTTTGAAAGGTTTCAGTTTTCAAAATTTTGACTTCAAGTTCTGAATTAGCTATTCAATCAATGTTATGCAAGCCATGTGACTTAAATTAATCTAGAAATGGTGTAGTTCAGAAAAGTTATTTGAGTATAAAGTCCGAGATCGGGACTGGTTGGGGTTGGGATTGCGGAAATTCCGAATTTAGGATTTATCTGGATATTAGGTAATAATAGTAATTTATAGTAAGATGACATGCAGAAGTTATAAAAGCAAAAACTTGAAGTAATAATTAATGAAATAATGAAGCATTTATGACCTTAAGGGAATCGGAATTCACTAAAAAAAGTTTTTTATTTTCTGTATTGAACATTTGTTTGAATGTAAGTTGTTTAATTTGCTTTGTTTTCATGGGTTAATCAGGGTTCATACAGTCCTTAAGTTTTTTGGAATCGATTTTTGGTCCTTAAAGTCCTTAATTTCCCCCAAAATCGTCAGAAGATCCTTAATTTTAATTGACTGAAATTTCTGTCTGTTTTTACGACTGCCATTTTGAGTGTGAATTAACATTTTGGAGTAATATATTTTGCAATTTGCTGACAAATATGGTTATCTTTTGAATGGTTTCATGAATTATAATTTGTTCTTATTTCTAATATAAATGATGGGATACTTGACTTTCTGAGCAAGAAGTGAAACATAAGCATTTCAAGATTATTTCATTTTTTTCTAATGAAGAGCTCTTAAACGTCTTTTCGCTTTTTGGGATGTGAATTCTTTAATTAAACCGTTCTAAACTTGGCGACGATTTTAAGATCTATTTCTATAGAAAATTTTTAATTCCGAGATCTAGGAATTTTTCAACAGTTTTTTTAGAGCATTGTAACATTGATAAATTTCATTTAAATAATGGTAATATTTTTGAATTATATTTATGAGATAAGATCAAAATAAAGCATTTTTATTTTTTGCTGTGATACTATTTTATATTATACTATTTATATTTTGGCCATTTATTATATGTGGAAAATAAGCAAGGTATAATGCTATAAAGCACCATTTATGAAACAGTTCTTAGCAAAAGCAAACTAGCTATGTAATTAATTAAAAATGTATTTTTAATATTTTCATGATAAGTTTTCCCCATGTAAATGTCTCAGAATATTCAGAATTCTTAAAATATACATCAGTTTTCTCCAGAACTTAAATTGTGCTCGAGCCCTGCTCTGATACTTCTTAGTTTTGGAGATAAATCATAATTCTACCCGGAGCCCTAAATAAGAAAGCTGTGACTTTTCTTTTTTGTACCTGAATAAAATTTCAGTAGAAATTTAATATTAAAAATTTTATTTTTAGTAATAAAGTTATATTAAAAAATTGTTTATTAAATTTTAATTTATCTCTTCATATTTAAAAATTTTAAACTATTTAATTTCTTTAAGCATTAACTATTGAATTTTTTTAATATAATTAATATTTAATTTTTTAATTATTAGTGATTTTATTAGCCATTTTTAGTTATTTATTTTAGTACCTCTTTCCTGATGGTGTTTCACGAGGCTCCAGCACATCTAACTTTAGAAATTAAGTCCTATTTTTCTCTATAAAATTAATTTTGCACTTTTTTCCCTCCGATTTTTTTTTTTTTCAAAATATTTCTCGCTTGATCCTGTTACAGAATTGATAGGGGTAATTTTTTTTTAGGATTTTTGACATTGCAGCTTGAAAAGTTTAGCAAGATATGAAGGCATGGTTTATAGACCCACGATTCTAGAAGATTCCAGAAAAATGTGACAAAATGGAAAATGTCTATAGTATTAACACGTAATTTCTTACTTTTTGGGGAATGTCTGGAAGAGCAACGAAAACATAGTAGTTAAATGTTTTACTTCTGATGCTATAATCTTTTTCTTAACATTTTCATCTTCCCTTTATTTTCACTACACACAAACATGGGAAATATTAAAAATGCTTCTAATCTTATCATATGCATTATAGAAAGGAATTCTTTTATTAATAAAGATATTGAAAACTGACAATTTAAAATATTCATCTAATATGTCTTAATGCATCATATACAGGGCTGGCACTAGGCATTTTCCCATCTGATGCAGTCTCTGTAGATCTTAAATTCTGCTGCCTGGTGCCTTTCTAAATTCTGCTTCTAGTGCCTGTTCTAAATTCTAAAAGTTTTGCCATTTCTAGACTTTATTGCTCAGTGTATCACTAAATTCTAAAAATTATGCCACATCAGCTCTCTAACCGAAGCTTACCATATATATTTGGTATTTCTTATAAATGTTCATATTACTAAAGAATACATTCTTAATGCATTTAGTTTATTTAGAATATCAGAAATCTTTAATTAAATCTGAAAATTCTAAAATGGAAAGGAAAACGTGGAAGAAAAAAACTGAATACATAAAAAAAAAAAAAAAAAAAAAAAAAAAAAATTATTTTTAAAAGATATGTACAGTTATTATTATGTAAATTACCCAATTGTTTACAATTTCAGCCCTTGCAATAATTTCCTATTTCCATTTTCTCACCAGAATGCAAATCAGTTAGACAGTTTTTAAACCAAGATTTCTGGAGTGCAAGACAAGACCTTCTGACCTCCACTTGCTCCCTGTATTAGTTCCTGCCAGCTCTGATAATTTGTAATTATTCATCTTGGATTACCATTGCCAACATTTCAGTTTGTTATGATGATAGAGTTATTGAGCCAGCCTAAAATGAAATTAAATTGTATAGTCTTTGACCAGTAATCCATATTTTTAGTTTGCATTTGACTCTTCTTGTTTCATTACATGCAAAACAACTTATCACCTCTGGTGCTTTAGTGGCTTATTAGAACCTTAAAGTATATTAACTGAGTCACAACCCCTGGAACTCTATACGAAGCTACAACACTAACGGCGTCAGACAGAGCCCAAACTTTCAGAACTTGCCAACTGTGCCTTCATCAGACCTTTCAGGTTTGTTCTGATAAGCAGGTCTCTTTCTAAATAAGCAGCAGCAGTGACAACAACCAGTCTTTTGTTGTGAATCATGCTGATTATGATTTTGCTTCTCATTTTAACCTATGCCGCTTAACATAAAATCTGCTTACTATTTACTAAAGCTCTAGACTGAGGAAGTATGTGACAAAATGAGATATAAAATAAAATAAACATAAAACTAACTGTTAGTAAAACATAAATAAAATGTCTCTTATCTCCTTTCAAATATGTTCAGTTCTTATAAGTGTAAAATATATAATGCTTCTTGACAAATTTCATATATTTTATTCTCAGACTTAATAATAATTATGTTAATTAAGTCATGTATCCTACTTATGGATCTATTTTATTTTTAAGATGGTATTACAAAAATGAAGTTCAGGCATAGATAATATTTTTAATCGAATTTATTCAGTCTCCATTTGCTCAGAGGTCCTTAATTTTTTTCATTAATGGTCCTTAAAAGTACTTAATATCCGTGTGCAGAAATGTGTACGAACACTGGTTAATGCTTCTTCTTTAAATAATGGATATTATTTAGTCCTCTTTAATTCTTCTCTTTTAATTTGTTTCTCTTTAATTATACTAATATATAGATATAATTTCTTTTTCAATTACAAAGTTCCACTGTTCAAGTCCTCTAATTGCCGCTTTGAGAATTCCCACTAAATTGAACTTTTTCTTTTCTCAGAAACGAAACTTTTTCTTTAATCTCTCTCTTCTGGATTTAGAACTATACTACAGATTTTGCCATCCTTTAGTTGGTTGATGATTGGAGCATTGTCATTGCAATGAAAAACTTCTGTTATATCATTTTTATTTATTACCACTTCCCCACATTTCTTTAAAAATTTCATTATTGGAAAATTTCACCTTTTGTTTGCGATATCTGAACACCCTTCAGATTCGCGATGATTATCATAAAGCTTAGCTAGTATCTGCTATATACCATTGCCGATTCGGAATGAGATTGGCAACTAGATATGTTGTTCCACTAAATTTTGCCTTGCTTCTGCCATAAGCTAAGTTATGCTTGTATTATACTGGTTATTTGTTAACTGAACCCTCTTTCCTGCCCATGCTTAAATCTTATCCGAGTCCCAGATAAATATATTCGTACATGTACTTGAGGCTTATCCAGAGCCGGTACTTTGCTGTCCAGTGCAATCTTTCAACTCGAAATTCTGCTGCCAAGCACCTCCCGAAGTTCTAAAAATTTTGCCTTCTTAAATTCTGCCGCACCGGCTCTAGCGTCCATCTTTTGCTTATCTGGAAAGGAAAAAATTATCATCAATTCAAACAGCACCAAACATAATCTTTTGGTTTATGATTATCATGTACAAAATGTATTTTTTTTGCATAAGGAAATCTATTAATTTTTTTTCTGTCAACAAACTCGACGCTTCCGCAGCAGAGTTCGCATGTCCACAATCATCACCAAGTGTTATTTCATTATAAAAGGTTGCCATGCTCTTTTTTTTTAAACTACTATTTGTATTAAAAAAAAAAATTAAAGGTTTTAAATTTTAAATTACATCCAAAGGGGCATTTTTTAATGTTTTATGTATTACCTTTATTTATTAAATATCATGTTCTTTGCACTTAAACCATGAAACTCAGTTCAAGAACAATATCACAAAATAATTTTTAAGTGAGCATATCTTTAGAATTTCCGATTTACATTCTCGTGCGCTGGAGATAAAAATGTTTTTTCTGTACAATGTTGTCATTGTTAGCTTTGACATTCTTGAGTTTCTTAATTAAAAATTCATTAAAATTTTACAAAATATAAAATCTATAACAAAACAAATACCATATTTCAAATTTGGGCTTCCAGATGCCCATATTCGGGTGGAAACATTCAATACAGTCAAAAGTCGTTAATTCGGACACCCATAATCCGGACCTCAAAGCTAAAAACTTTCTGTGCATGCATCATGTTCATGCATGCACATAGGTGTTTATGCGTGCGTGTAAGACCTTTGATGCTAAAGCAAAATTTAAAGTTTGTAAAATTAAACATATAGCAGTAGTAGCAATAAAAGCTCTCTGAGATACCATGTTGTGAAGACATTGAAGACAATAAAAAAATTTTCAAATTTAACCAATTTATTAACAATATAATAAACAATAAAAACACAGAAAATAAATTTAAACAATATCAGAGTCTTAGGAAAAATATAATATAATAATCATTCATCAAATAATATTTTTACCTAATCTTCAAAAACACTGGCATTCAATACAAACAAAAATGTCCTAAACAGTAATTATGTGGCCTCAAAATGAAGTTGGCTACACATTCAAAAAGTCCATGATCAATGGTCGAGAAAAACACCTGAAAATTTAAATCAAGTTCTTGTAAGCACTCAAAACCGGCCTAACTCAGTTTGCCTTAGTTGAACACGAGGAATCGCCGCTCACATATTTTAAATGCCACCTTCATTGAAGAACATGGATGCCGCCCATGGCAGTCACTCACATGGTAGCCTCTGGAACCAAGGAATTTATTCTGGAACAATCATCTTGTGGATAGGTACCAAGGAACTTTATTCAGGAACAGTCATCTTGTGAACAGGAACCATCGAACTTTATTCACCAGACTGCATGCGTCCTTCTGAAGGGGCTGGAAACCACACACCCAAGTGCCAGGAAAGCAGGAACTAGAAGGGTTGAACCGGAGCGACGCGAGATAACTTCTAGCAGAAGTAGGCATGACGTCATCTCACGGCAACCAATCAGCTATCGGCACGAATCGGCTTTCCACATGATGTAACATCACTTTCGTTTTTGCATCTCAATTAGGTTGAAACAGTCCGTTCTCAACGCAAACAGTGGCAGTAAGAAAAAGAAGTAACTACTATATCACATTAAAATAAGAACTAAACTAAATAAACATTTCAAGGAGGAGAGATGATGCAGTAAAAGGTTTACAATAAGTTATATTTTCCAACAACCTTTACGGCTGCGAATGTACATGTGCGCTTGCGCATAATACGTTTACGCATGCGCGTTTAATGTATAACGGACGGTATAAGCTAAAATTATCTAATTATCTATTTCAGTTAATGTTGCAGATTGTGTTGTTCCTTAATCTTCGAATTGGATCCGGCTTATTATTTTTTGCAGACTGTTAGAGCAATTTTATAAAAGTAAGCTTGAACTTCCGATTGTGTCAAATAGAATTTCCGATATATATGTAGTAATATGTAAAGGATCTACAAAGCGAAAGTATGTTTCGAAGTCCATTAAACAGAAAGTGGAATTGCTGCAAGAAATGGATAAAGGCATATTTTTTTTATTATCTAATCATTCCGAAATATGTTTATCAATTTTACACTGCTCTGCAGGGGGAGGGAAACGACACGGCGCGCAATGAATTGGAAGTTGATCTGTCAGCACTATCCTTATCTTCAGGGCACATGTTTTTATTTTATTTGGCTTATAATTCTTTACTAAATGTAGTATTTCATCTTGATGTACTAGGTCTTTCATATGATTTAAATCAAGTTCCTCGTCATTATAATTCGCTTCCGATAGTGAAGAAAGTGACTCAGGGGTTATTGAAAACGAAAAAATTTCGATTTACAAATTAGTCGGTATTCTCGACACAGCAATTATAGGACTTGAACAGCGGAACTTTGTAACTAAAAGAAAAAATTATGTCTGTTTATAGAATTAAAAAGAAAGAAAGTAATATCTCACATGAAACGAAGCAAATTAGACAACTTACATTGAAAAAAAAATGTTTAATAAAGTAAACAAATAAATATTTAGCTTTTTCTTTTTGTAAATTTTGATACCCTTTAAATCATAATTGCTCTTTATTTCATAAATTACGGTTTCATATTTTAATTTTTTATAATTTCTGCATGCCATCTTACCAGATTTAAAACTGATGATCTATAATCCGTAAAAATCGATAATCCGGAATCGCCGAAGTCCCGACGAGTCCGGATTAACGACTTTTGACTGTATTCAAAATTTGATGGCTCTAGGTACCGTTGTTTTATCACAGTGTGAGAAACATACATACATTTATGCAGATTCTTCATTATTTAATTACTTTGGATATAATACAGGGCGATAATATTTGGTGGCAACAATTTGAAAAGTGAAGCAACATTTATAGGGACGCAAAATTCAAAATGAAATTAATAGTTCTGAGCAAATTGCCCCTTTGGACTAATAAATAAATAGTAATAATAATAAAAAAATCTGTTTAGACACAGTTGCATGAGTCATTTCTGAAACTGCGGAATGTTCATATTCATGTGGTGATGAAAGAAAAAAAAAAAAAATAAATAAAATAAATAATGATTTGCAAGTTGGTATCAGTGTCGAAGTAAAATTAAGAATTGGGACTCTCCATGTTTAAAAAAAAAATCAAATCTGCAAGCGTAAAGCTATATTAAAAAAATAATAATAAATAAAATTGATGGTAATCCAGTGGTTCAGATTTTAGATCATTCTGGGTATTGGACTTCCAGATATCGGATTGTACTGAACTAATTTAGAAAACAGAGAGGAAGGTACCCAAATTAAGAATAAGGAATTAAGAGGCTATTGCTAAATTAAATTATAAAGCTGATATACATATATTTTTATCTTATATATATATATATATCTTTTAATAGGAAAAGTGTTAGGAATGCTATAGCTGAATTGATAGGTGCAGTTGCAAAACATGAACTATCTGATGGAAAGTGGCCAGAATTAATGGAACTCTTAAATCAGAGTATTCGCAGTAATAATGTGACTGATAGAGAGGTAAGTATATGGAAGTTTGTTCTAAGTATTATTTGAAATATAACTGGTATAGTTGTCCTCTGCTTTACCTTATGCTTCTTCGTTTAGTGAAAGGTTAAGAATTTTTTCTATTCTTTCCCCCTCCAAAAAAAAAGGAACTGGATTTTTATATCTTTTCTGTAATAGGACAACATGCATCAAACAGTTTTCTCTAGAAAAGTGTATGTGTCAACTTGATACTTCTAATGAGAAAACAGGCTTTCCTCTGGTTTAATTTTTTCAAGACATAAGAAGTATATTTCTTAGGTTAGCTTTTTCAATCAACATAGGAGGAAAAAAAAAAAAAAATGAGATAAAGTAATTTTAGGTAATCTGAAGCTAGAGGTAATTGTTTACCAGAGTGCCAAATGTTGTAACTTGTTTATTTCATCTCAGGAGAACTATGTAGTAATGTCATTAGGAATAATTGGGAAGAGTTCATTAATTTTTCCTTTGATATCTTCAGCCCCCCACTTGCCTCCCCGATATTTTTCTTTCTGCGTTGAAGAATGAGTCGAATGGATTTTTTTGCAGTTGACAAAAAGAATATGGATTTGTTTGGCAGTTGACAAATGATCAAAAGTTGCAATTAAATTCTTCCAAGACGAAAGAATCATCCAAAATTGAAAGTTTGGTTGTTTGGAAAACTCATTTTCTGGTTTGAAATGGCACTGCAATGAAAGGTGACGTCATCAAAGGAAAATTTTACAGAATGAATATTGGTTTGAAGGTTCTCATTTTTCGTTTTTAATAACCTTTTTTTTTTTTTTTTTTTTTTTTATGTTGGTGTTAAGAACTAGTATTGGTAAAATTTAGTCAGCTGCAATTAGGATAACATTATTGATTGCATTTCATGCATTCATTCTTATTTATTTATCTATTTAATTTTTCTAATCTGTTTGGGTTTAATGTAACAGCTGCTCTTTTCATTAAGCTATATATATCTGTAAAGCTTGCCAGGCCAGCATTTGCATTTCCTGTAAGTGAACTAAAATTATGGTAGAAAGAATACGTTAATAATGGCACATGTAGCTTTCTGTAGGAAATTGTTTGGCGTGTGATATCCTAAGATCAGGCTTCGTATGGTCCTTGAAAGTCCTTCGGAATTTGGGAATGATTTATGATTCTTAAAAATTAAAAGCCAGTTGCCAAAATTGGCAAATGACCCTTAATTTTACTCATCTGACAATTCTATTTTTTATGACTGCTGCTTTATAATTAAATTAACATTTTGGAGGAATATTTTCTAGTGTTTCATTGGCAAATATGTATTTGATGGATTATCATTTTAATTTCCTACTTCTATTATAAATGATGTATATATATATAATAATGCATATGGTTTTGATCCTTACTCCTCCTTACTTTCTTACTTGATCAAAGTAAGAGTCCTTACTTTGATTTCAAAATTACTAGAAAAGTAATTTTGCAAATACTGAACATTAAATTTTGAGTTCAAAAAGTTATCTTGAATTCAAAAGCCACTTTTGATCAACAGTAGTGAGATTAATCACCTGCCATTTAAATCCAAGATAAATCTATAGACCTTTTAACTAGAAGTATCAAATATTGCACCAAGATTAAATTTTTTATGCAGCAAAAAACAAGCATATCCATGTCATTAAAACTTTTTTTTCTTAATTAATACTTGAGACAAATCTAAAAGCTACTTCATTTTATATGTCTGTTGTTTAACTAAGAAATGTATTATTTATGGGAAAGTATTTATATTTTTATCTGTATTCTATATTTAATATATGGGTTCATGAAAAAGTCTCGATCATAAGACGGGGTAGCAGTGGTTTAAAACATCCATCTTATACTATGTCACAGAACACCATACACTATTCAGTGTTGTAGTGTAGTCTCTGTGGGTCCTAAATTCTAAACTTTTTATCATCCCTAAATTTTGTTGCTCAATGCTTCACTAAATTTATACTGGCTCTGGTGATGGCTCCCGACGACATATCATTTCATAGTTTTCTCAATACATATATTATTAAAGACAAAATAAAATTAGCAGTTTCTACTATGTATTCTGAATACATTCAGTGTTTTAGAATAAACAGAAATCTTCAATTAAATCTCAAAATTCTAAAATGAAATACTTACTTAGAAAAATATTTATTTAGAAAAATATTGATTACATAAAAAGAAGGAAAATAGTTCTTCTTAGAATATTAACAACATTGAAAAATTGAGATGAAGCAGAGTCTAGTCGGAACATTGATTTATTGACTGAACCAATTAGAAGTTAGAAAGATTCTAATGAGAAGAAATTCATATAAATTTACTGAAACATGGTAAATTTTCAAATTTAAGAGATGCGTAAATATTTTGTGTTATTGCTAAAGCATTTTTTGTAGCTTTTAATGTATAATCCTAGTAGTGTTTTAGAATCAGTATCATAAATTATTTGTGTAATTATCTGTTAAATATTCTTAATTCTTAATAATCTGTTAATTAATCTGTAAAATATTCTTAGGTTGGAATTTTAATAGTGCTTTTTTATCAAATATTTTTTTAATAAAAAAAATAATAGTAGTAATGTAAATCCATAGCAATTAAGTGTTAACTTACGTATTTTAATTATTTGCAATTGATTGATTGCTCATCTTCAGAAGTCCTCTCTATGTTTTAAGGTGAGTTATTGTCTTTCCCTAGTAATCCTTGGTTTAGAAGCAAGGTACAATGTAAAATTTAAAAATAATTAATATGAAATGTTATTCTTTACAGCTAATGAGACTCAAAATATAAAGTAAATCACTTCTGATGCCTCAATAGCTTATTGGAACTTTACTGTATATCAACTGAGTTATAACTCCAGCAGCTCTGCTCAAAGCTATGACAATGTCTCTCTTAGATGGACAAAGCACAACTGATTTTCGATATTTGCTAACTGTCCCAACATTATCAGCTGATCTCTTTCTTTCTAGGCAAGGAACAGTGGTGACAAAGCCATGCTTCTGTTACGATCATGTCATTATGAATTTTCTTCTCCTTTTAACTTATACCACTTGATATAAAATCTGCATAAACCTCTGGACTGAGAGAGTATGTGAGATGAGGCATAAAAAAAGAAATAACATAAAGGTTAACTGTTAGCAAAACATAAATGTCATTGATCTTCTTTAAAAAATATAGGTCTAGTATTATAAATGTAAAACCAAGTGTTTGAAAAAATTTTGTATTTTGATGCTAATTCATAAATTTTATGAATTTGATTTTATTCTTGAATTTATTTTATAATTATTTTAAATAGTAGATTATGTGTAATAATAATGCATTGTACTTACAGGTAAGTTTTATTCCTAGAATGGTATTACGAGTGTAAAGTTTGAGAATAGATAATTGATTTATTCATTTCCCATTTGTCGATATGTTCTTAATTTTTTTTTTTTTTTCATTTATGGTTCTTAAAGTACTTAATTTCTATGTGCAGAAATGTGTACGAACCATATAAAGATCTGGATTTTTGCTTATCAGTGTGTGTTTTGTACAATGAATGTAGAAAATTTGTATTAATTTTGAAATGCTGGGAAGGCTTCACTCGTTTCTGGTGCGATTTATCTTGATGTGCCTGATAAATTAAATCTTGTACCTTTGACACCACCCCTTTTCTTTTTATGCCAAAAGGCAGATTTATAATCTGAATAAATTTTCACCTGGATGTAGTACAAATGATTTCCACCTTTCTGTTTAGTTTGACAGCTGACATTGAATTGTCATCAAGTTATAAGTAATGTTGCAAAGTGAAAACTTGTTAACTCTAGCATCTTAGGATACAGTATTCTATTCTTATTTACTCTTAGCTGCCTATTTATACTTTTAACTAAAATTTCCATGTAATATCTTTTTTTTTATAATGTCCAGTTTTTAATTGTAATGTAGATAAACTTATTGACTCTTATTTTTATAGGTTGGACTATATTCCATGAGTGTAATCACTAAAGCTTTAGGACAAAAACTTAAACCTCACTATAAAAGTCTGCTTGGTCTCTTTCAAAAAACCCTGACTGATCGATCCAGTGTTGAAATCCCTTATTATACTATTAGGCAAGTGTTTTTATGAAACTGTGACTATTTTTCAATTTTTGCTATGTATTACTTTATTTTTCTAGTTTTCGACATTTTCTTATATCATTGTATTTCATTTATTTAATCTATAGAGCATTAACTCATATGGTATGCAGTATTGGAACAGAAGAGTTGGTACGTAGAAATTCTAGCTCCATTATACGAGTTAATTATTTTTATTTATAATACTTTTAAATGAAGTGTAATAAAGGAATATTTTTGCTTATGTAAATTTGAATAATGAAACTAAAATTGTAAACCATTTGCTGACTTTGGAATTTTTTTAGCAAATAAAACTATAGATATATTACCAACAAAAGTTTTTGTTTGAAAATTGCAATTAATGTTTTATTTTTATAAGAAATTTCAATTTAAAAATAAATTTTGAAATTTGTGTAGTTGTTTTTAAACAGTAACATATATTTTGTAGTGAATTTTAAATGCTTTTATCCTGTTTTATAGTTTTGCTTATTGTTTTTGTAGAACTTGTTTCAGTCTTTGGTGCCAAATATCATCATGATGATTAAACTTTTAGCCTCTGATGATCAGGTAAGAAAGAAAAATAGAGCTTTGCTGTTAAAGTAAAACTAGTAAATGAAATACTGTGTTGCTAATAGTGGTTATATAATGGTTATGTTGCTAATAGACGGTGAAAAGAGTTAAACTAACTTACGTGTATCAGTTTTTGTATTATTTTTTAAATTTCTTTATGTGGATAATAGTCAGCAAATAATGACAGCTTTTACACTTAACAAAAACTTTTAGATATTGGGTGGGTCACAGATTTGCTTTATGATTTATGAATTTCTCTTCCCTTTTTTTTCTTTTCTTTTTCCTTTTCCTTACTTCATAATTGAGAAATTCACGTCATATTTGGTAAATTTTATTAAGTGAAAAAATAATGCTTGAAAATTATGAATTTGCGAAAGAATTAAAATATATTTTAAATACGTGCAAATAAGTAATTTTTTCCATTTAGGAAAAAGCTTGCGAATCTCTGGAAGTATTTGACGAACTTATAGAATCTGAAGTTTCGGTCATCTCCCCTCATATTAAGAGTCTAATTGAATTATGCCTTGAGGTATTATGCTTTGTAATGTGTTTGGAACTTACTTGTTTAAGAAATTATCTATAATGCAAATATTTTAATATTGCATGGCTGTTACTTTGAAAATTGAACCACCATATGTAGTTTCATAACTGATATTTTTTTGAATCTTCTAATTATAGATAGCTTCCACTGAAAAGTTTGATACTGAGTTCAGAGTAAAAGCTGTAAACACAGTTGCATATTTGATTCGTTTAAAAAAGAAGGTAAGCTGTTGCATTGATCTTTAATAATAATTATTTTTTTTAACTTGTTAAGCACAGTTATGAGGCCCGGTGGTGCAGTAGCTAGCGCGTCGCGCCGCTGCACCACAGGTCCGGGGTTGGATCCCCAGGTCGAACAATGTTGATTCAGTCTTTCATCCCTTGAGTGGGTCGATAAAATTAGTTTGGACGGCGACTAAACACTGGAGGTCCTGCGACAAGCTGACCACTTGCCCTGGGCATATGCTGATGCACTCCGGCGCCCAAGGTCAAGAAAGCAGATTTTGGGGCACTGCAGGCAATGGCCTACTAGGGCTGTTGCGCTACTGGGTTTAGTTTTTCTTGGGAGCATGGGTGAGTGGAGGAGACTGCTGAATGCTAGTAAAGTCCAGGTTGAAATTCCAGCAACAGAGCAGGCTGCAGGGAAGTTTTCATTTTTTTTCTGACATGCAGTGGAGATTATGAGCTACTTTCTCCCAAAAAATTTCCATAGGCATCTTTTCTCTTAAAAAGATAGCCCATGTGTTGTTTATTGTAATCAGATTAATTTACCACAATTATGCAGCATCAATAACCATGCTTAATCCGAGTTAAAATAACACAATAATGATTGTTGGAGGTGTTAAGGTAACAAAAATCAATGTTATATTCTTAAATTTGCGGGACTGGTTTCGGTGCCAAGTGGCATTCTATTAAAAGTTTGCTGTCAGGTTTAAATATTGAGCTTCTTCAGCTGCAGATGTGCAAATGACAAAGAGAAGCCTGTGCTCGGATCCCTTGAGTGGGGATTTTTATTGCTATTGGGGCCATTTATTGATGAAAATGAAAACACATATGAAATAATTTCCTTAAAAGCTGAGGGTAAAGGCAGATTGAAATTAGGATTGTTAACTAGAACTTATAGGTTTTTATACATGTGAAATGCTTCTAGAAAATTTAATTTTCCAACGAGATGCTCTTTAAATAATTTTGGCTGTAACAAAAATGGAAAATGTGATAGTTTGATCAGTGGAACCAAAGTATTTATGGCAGGAAGGACAACAGAGGATTTATGTATTTTTTTTTTTCTCCTAACATATGCCTCATGTTCCTTTGCGTGAAATTTTAAGGCTGTCTTAATTTGACCCAATGTAAATTAAACCACATTGGCAAGAAATTGTGTATTATACCTCAGACATTCATATCTGGAATGGGCTGTTAAGTTTGGAACTGTGAATTTTATTGACAGAAGAAAAAACGACCCAGAAATTGAATTTCTGTAAAATGCATGCTGTTGTACCGTTAATCGATGGAAAGAAAGGAATGACAACAGACTTCTTATAATATCCTAAAATGAAAGAATGTGTTTTGATGTGTTGATATGAGAATTTTTTTAAACGCCAAGTGGCTAAAAGGCAATGGAACATTGGCAGAAAATATTGGTTATTTTCAGCCTGTACTTGGTATAACTAATCTAATTTTGATATATTTAAATATTTGAGTCATACCCTTTATAGCTTTATTTTTCAGATTGATAAAGCTGATAAATATTTTGCATTTTTTTCTTTTATTGTTTTCATTACATTTTTTTGATATTCATAGGCAATAATGAAGCAGAGATTAGTGCAGCCCATATTGGAAGTATTTTTTCCTTTAATGTGTCTGCCCAGTCCAAATGATGCTGATGATGATAATGAAGACGATGATGATTTGGAGCAAACCTTACCCTCTGCTGCTGGACAAGTATTTTACCCTCTTTAATTCCACTTATTATGTTTTCTTGCAAAATCAATTTCTAAATTACTATTTGTATGTTTGTCAGTAATGTTTTTTTCCCCCAGTTATCTCTATGCTGTTTTGTTTTTTAAATTTATAATTAAATATAATATATACATTTCCAAATACAATATGTAAGCTGAGAGGTAGGTTTTTGTTCTAAAACATCAGCCAAAATTGAAGATTTCTTTGTAAGCTAATTTGAAGTTGCTCTATGTATTCAACTAATTGTGTTTGAAAGTTCAAATAATTGGCCATCCAACTTAACTAGACCTAAAATTGCAAAGCCTGCAAAATTTTGCACAAAGTCAATTTTTCAGAGGCTTTGTGGAAACCTCAGCAATATCAGTAGTCTAGAAAATGCATTTCCTTATTGTTCCCCTTAGAAAATTTTCAGCAAAATTCTGTATTCCTGCAAGAATTTTAATGCAGTTTCTTCCGTTGCTCATAAATTCCAAAATGTGTATATTTTAGAACTAAGCTTAAGGCAAAAAATATCATGATTTGTTTGTAAAAATCATTGGAACTTGGAATACAACTAAAAAGAATGCTTACTAAAAATGGTGGCATTGCTTGACTGAAGGATTGTCATGAGCATGGTTATCAGAAAGATGGTTATGGGCATGTTTGCCAGAGTTGTTTGGCACATTGTGAAAATTTGGCGACTTCTACTGAAGTGGTTGCAATAATACATAAGTATATAATAGATCTGATCCATTTAACTACTAAAAATGATCAGTTGATTGTTAAAAAAATAAAAATAGAAAGGCAGTGGTTATGGACAGAATTGTAGATGGTATTATCTATTAGGTGGATGACAATGTTAATGGTGAAATGAAAGCTGATGCCATTCGCCTTAGGAAAGAAATTTTTGAGAATGGCTTGAAATTTCTGAGTCGTATTGTGTTATTGAAAAGTTTGGTCAGTGTCTGTTAGGGTTTTAAAAAAAATAAAAGTATGTTTTAACTAATTTCAATTTTGATTATTTTTTCAATTATTTATTTTTGTAATCAAGTTATTTGTTAGCAATTTTGGTATTTTCTGCTTATCCGCGCCACCTGTTTTCAATATGTTATGAAACTGTTGTGGTGCAAACACGCATGCGCCATTTGGACCGAATTATTCTCGAAACAGGGAGGAAAGATGGGGACTTTCTTTCCCTCCAGCATAGCTCTTTCCGGAGAAGAGAAGACCTTTCATGTCGCAGCAAGTAATACTTGCCTCTTTTGGACGAGTCTATGTGCCAGTGGTAGAATGCCAACCAGGGTTGCGCTTGAGACGGTCGAACTACAATAATAACTTATTTCGCTGAAAGTATTCATTGGCTGTAAGAATATGAAAATCTGCCTCAAAGATTTCCTCATTAAATTTCTTAAAAAATGCTTTTTATTATTATTTATTAATTGAAAAGAATGTATAGGCCATGAAGATGGCCATATAAATGCTTTTCCCCAATTCACAAAGTCACAACTAGTCGCAAGTTTTTGTATGGATGCAAATAACCAGTAAGAAATGTAAGTTAACATTTCAATAATTTTGAATTCATATGCAAGCCAACCCACAAACTTTCGTAGCACAAAATTTGCTAAAAATTCCCGATTTCTACATGAAAAATATATTTTAAATTCAACTATTAATAAATTCTAATAATTCATTTTTGTGATCATTTTATTCTCAGTCATTTTGAATTTTTATATAGCTAATCACCAAACGTCAGTGGCAAGGAATTTTTAAAAATTCTTGTTTTATAAGCAGAAATTTGTGGAATGCTGAAACATTCTTTTGATTTTTTTGGGTTGATTTTGCTAAACAAATAATATTAAGAGTAATATACTGTTTATTTTCAACATAAGTAATAAATAAAGTTTGGTACTATTTAGTTTCGAGGGCCGTAAAAAATCGCCAAACTGTTGTTGATACCAATGCTGCTAAAAATAAATGTGGCAACCCTAATAATTGTGGCAAGAAAGGAAGTATAATAGTAAATAACTACAGTCAAAAGTTGTTAATTCGGACACCCATATTCGGAATGATCTATAATCCGGACATCAAAACTAAACTTTCTGCACATGCGTCACGTTGACACATGCACAGAGGCGTTCACGCGTGCGCGTAAGACCTTTTACGACTGCGCATATGAGTGTGCGCAAGTGCAGAATACGTTTTCGCGTGCACATTTTATGTATAATGGACGTATAAGCTAAAATTATCTAATTATGTATTTCAGTTAATGTTGAAGATTGCGTTGTTCCTTAATTTTCGAATTGCATCCGGCTTATTATTTTTTGCAGACTGTAAGAGCAATTTTATAAAAGTAAGCTTAAACTTTCGATTATATCAAATAGAATTTCCTATATATATTTGTTAATATGTAAAGGATCTAAAGCGAAAGTATGTTTTGAAATCCAAAATCTGTTTATCAATTTCACGCTGCTCGGCGGCGGGCGCCTAATGAATTGGAAGTTGATTTGTCAGCACTATCCTTATCTTCAGCACAGATGTTTTTATTTTATTTGGCTTATAATTCCTTACCAAATGTAGTATTTCATCTCGATATGCTCCGTCTTTGATATGATTTAAAACAAGTTCCTCGTCATTATAATTCGCTTCCGATAGCGAAGAAAAGTGACAGAGGTTATTGAAAACAAAAAAATTTCGATTGACAATTAGTCGGTGTTCTTGACACAGCAATTATAGGACTTGAATGGTGGAACTTTGTAACTGAACAAGAACAAGAAATTATGTCTGTTTAATAGAATTAAAGAGAAAGTAGTATTATCACATGAAACGAAGCAAAACTTAAACAACTTACATTGAAAGAAATGTTTTAATAAAGTAAACAAATAAATATTAAGCTTTTTTTTTTGCAAATTTTGATACCCTTTAGATCATAATTGTTCTTATTTCATAAATTACGGTTTTCATATTTTTAATTTTAGAATTTCTGCATGCCATCTTACGAGATTTTTAAACTGATGATCTATAATCCGGAATCGCCGAAGTCCCGACGAGTCCGGATTAACGACTTTTGACTGTATCTAAGATTAATGTTTTAATCTAAATGAAAGGTTAATTTCATATAATACTTTTTTATTATTATAATTTATATGAAAAAGGCTAAACATGACTGAATGGAAGCATAAGACTAAATAACTATTTCAGATCACTATCATAATTTATATAAAAATTGCTAAACATTACTGAATGGATGCCTGCATCGCTATTTCGCTACCGACTTATCGCTAAAGCATAATTTCATCTTGTTGGTTGTTCAAACATAATTTTCTATAATGAATGATGCCTTTCCTTTGAAAATATTCTCGGTAAAAAGCAGAATCGTTCACTTATTTGTTCGCCGCTTTGTACAAGGGTAAAGACAGTTGGACTTTTGTCAATTTTCTTTTATTTTTTAAGTGAAAATAGGTCAATGTGTACATAGATAATGTCAAGGGTGTGCACAGTGCCATTTTTGTGCAATTCTAGAGGATTTTTTTTTAAAGTGAAAATAGGTCGATGTGCACATGCCGAGTATGTGCAGTTCTTAAAAACGCGTCAAGCAGTGCATGATTCTGCACTTTACCCAAAATTTTATTGCCGACTTTTCATCATGGGCAATTGTTAAATCCATAGGATATCAAAAAAGAATTTAAAATCAAAAAGTATTTAAAAATTAAACTAGTATTTCAATGTCATTTTAAGAAATATAGAACTATATAAACTTACGCAATCTGAAATCAGCGCGTACGCTAGATTTGGCACTCTGTTAAATGGGCACGTTTGCTAGATTTGGCGCTTTTGTGCAAACATTTTCGCTGCAATTTTTTATGGCCCTCAAAACAGAATAGTATCTAAAGTTTTAATATAATTATTCTTTCCCTTAAAATGCCTGCATTCTAATTCTGTTAGAATGTATAAAGGATTCCGCTAAAATTATTTGTACTTCATTGAATTCTGCCTGATTTATAAATTACCTTAATTTTTTTATGAGGGAAACTGGTTTGAATGGGGAACAAAAAATGAGATTCCATCATTATATCTGTTCTGCTGTAGCATTTTGAAACTGTATTTGAATATTTAATCTTTATGAAACATTCAGAATTCCTAAGTCTTTTCCCATATAGAACAACATGTGCCAAAACGTTTTCTGCTGAAAGATGTACATGCCAGTTATTGGCAGTTGTTAAATTAATTATGGTGCTCTTATATCTTAGAATTATTTTTACAGTTTCCTATTCTATTTGTTTGTTAAAATAATTAACATAAGAGGTGTATTAGAAAAAATTAATATAGTTGAAATGAGCAAGTGATGAAAGTATGTTTCTTTAATGGAAATGTCAGGTTGGCACATATATCTTCCTATAGAAAATTGTTTTGTGTGCTGTTGTATAATAGAAACTATCTTTTTTTTTTTTTTTTATAATTCTTGTTTAATTTTAGGCAATTGATGTTATGGCATTGCAGTTGCCTCCAGGCAAGTTTATTCCACTACTGGTAAGCTGCTTTTTCCCCTTCCCTGTATGTTGTTTCTAAATTTTAAGAAAATTTTTACTTAAGCCTTATGGCAACTGTTTATATACCAGTGGTAGCCTTCAGGCTGCAAGAGGCTATCAAGTTTATTAATGCGTATTATTGACTGTGGAGTTGATAATGTAAACAAATGATGTAGGATATGACAATTTCAAGCAGTTAACCATTTTTAAATTGTCTATGTCACAACCTAGGATAGTCAATAGTTAACGATTTAAATCACAATTAATAAATTAAATTTTAGGTGAAAAATTATGTTCTGAATACAATAAAGGCTTAATTGACTTGAAATTTAGATTAGACACATTAGATTCAGATTAAAGAATTTTTCACATTGAGAAATAATGGAAAATTCTTAATTTTAAAAAAGGATTAAAATATTATTTTCTGTATAATATTTCAGATGCACCATTTAGAACCAGCTCTGGAAAGTCAAAATCCACTTTGTAAAAAGGCAGCCTATTTAGCAATTTCTGTTATAGCTGAAGGTTGTTCTGAATTTATTAGAAACAAGTAAGTCCCATTTCTTTAAATACTTAATTTTGAACATTACTTGTCATTTTGCCATTAATTTCCCCTTCCCCCGCTTTATAAGGCATGTTTGCTTTTAATACTCAAATTTATAACTTTTGTCATATTTTGTCTTTTATAGAACCTCTTTTGTGTTATATGTTACATAATTGTTTGCAATTTTTTTCATGTGTTAGGTATTTGCAAAGTTTCATTCACGTTATTTGTCGTGGTATAAAAGATCAGAACGCTATTGTTCGAAATGCTGCTCTGTATGCTGTTGGTCAGTATGCAGAATATTTGCAGGTAAAAAAATATTTTTTATACTTTATTTTATTTAAACATTTGGAAGTTTAACTGATAATAAAAGTTTTCATGAAAATAATTTTGATCCATCCGAGTTTGTCTAAAGTATTCATAACTTTTATGTATTTTATTTATCAGTTTATCTCTATATTTTTGTATAATTACACAAAAAAGTTATTTCATAAATAAAATAGAATTAGTGTAATTATTCAAAATTAGCCGTTATTCTGAATTCTTTATTAGTCCAAAGGGGCTTTGTCCCTGAAGGACTATTGTTTTCGTTTTGCGATTTTGTGTTAAATCAATCTGAATGTCCATTTGACTTTTCCAATGGTTGCCACCAAACATTATCGCCCTGTATTATCTTAGAAGAAATTAAACAATGAAGAATCTGCAAAAAATGTATGTATATTTCTCGCATTGTGATAAAACAACGGTACCTAGAGCCATCCAATTTTGAATGATGTAATCCTACTGCAAATATGGAATTTGTATTTATATTTTGTAAAACTTTAACAAATTTTTTGATTAACAAACTCGAGGATTTCAAAGCGAGCAATGGCAACGTTGTACAGAAAAAACATTTCTGCATGAGAGTGCGTATCGGAAATTATAATGATATGCTCAATTTAAAATTATTTCGCGATATTGCTCTTGAACTGAATTTTATGGTTTAAGTGCAAAGAACATGATATTTAATAAATAAAGGTAACACACAAAATGTAAAAAAAAAGCCCCTATGGACATAATTTAAAATCTGAAACCTTTCAGATTTTTTTTTTAAATTTATTTTTTGATCCAATGTAGCCAAAACTTGATTTTCTCCCAAATTAATCCAAACTGCATTATTTTATTCCAAAACTGTATTTTTTTTGTCAAAAATGAGCAAAATATTTTTTGTTCAAAGCTATTGTTTTTGATCCTGATTAGTCAAAAGTGCATTGCTTTGTCCTAGATCAGTAATTCCCAACTTGTAGTATGCATAAACTTAGGGTTACATAATCACTTAGGAAGAGGGGTACACCAAAAATAACAAATGGAAACAAAAAAGAAAAGAAATTTTGGATATTTTTACGTGATTGAGCGAAATGTGTTCAGAGGGGATGTAATCAATTATAATTATCTATATTGTCAAATACCTTGATTACTTATAATATTCACATATATAGCTACTCTCTCCCCTACTGTGCCACAACATAACATGCACAGAGATTGGGAACCAATTAATTGGATTTTCAGTATTTAGTGAACCTTCAAGACAATTATGTAACTTTCTTTTAAATTGCGATGTGGAACTGAATGTGGAGTTTTATATTCTTTTAAAGTTGCTAAATGGTAGGGTTAATGTTTGGTTATGTAATATTGTATAAAATAGCTAATATAAATCTTTGCACAGAGCAGAAACTGCTTGTGAATAATTATTCTGATTTTGCATTTGCACCAAGCAACTTTTTGGAGACCTTCTATTTCAGTAAAGCTTGAAATTTCGTAATGATATTCAAGGACTTTAATAACTAACTAGTATTTTTCTACTGAAATAAATTCAGCTTAGGTTTGCCAAATAGTTCCATAACTACTTCTAAAGCGACTGAAGAAACCAATTCTATGCACAAACTATGCCTCCAAGAGATATTTAAACATTACTTGAAAAGGACAAATACATTTCAGATATTTTCAAAGATCTCTTTCAAAAGCATCATAATTATGATTCTCTGAAAAAGAAAAAAAAAAAAAAAAAAATAGCTTATATTTTTCTGACTTTATGCTTTGCAGTTTGTTTTTATGTTGCAAGATAATATTCTAAGATATATTTTGCAAATATTTGATGGTGAAAGGGGTCTTAAAGGTACACTTTAGTAAGAGTCTTATTAAGGGGTACACAAAAGGAAAAAGGTTGACCATTGCCGTCCCAGATTATAAATTGATAAATCAATCTTATAAAATGACTAATTATTATGTAACTACCCGTTTTGTGTTATTATTTGAAATGACTTACTAAGTACAGTGGAACTTCGGATCACAAATGCCTCTCTTTGGTTCATGTACAAATTATCTGGTAAAAAAAAATGCTTTGGGTGACGAACACTTGAGTTATGAACACTCAAAATGACAACACATGATTTCCAAGGTATTTTGAGATAACCATAACATTCAAAATTAACATTCAGGAATTTTTGGAATTATCATTTTAATATTTTCCATCGCTTAGCTCTGATTCACAAATCCTAGAAGCGACTTAACAGGAGTATGGATTTTGTGTGGAGAAAATTATGGGTAGGTTGGTTTGCAGGCAAATATTTTCAGCACTTTGACACTTTTACTGTCTGTGATATTAATGCGTCTAGACCAGTGGTTCCTGTGGACCTCCAGGAGTCATTATGACTTCTGAGAGGGTATATGGCAAATTAAAATTAATTTGGTGCATGGACAATATTGGGGAGGGCACAAATATTTATTGCACTGTAACTATATATATGGTTATGTGTAAGATAAGTTTAATTATAACTTTTAATTTTGACTTGCATTTTAAACTCTTTCTTTGCTTGTGATCATTCAGTTGTCTTAATTTGAAGAGAAGGTTTGTTTGAAACAGTGTGTAGGGACAATTTTGCTGTAAAAGAAATGGGAAAGAGTATTTTTAACTGTTTTGGTATGCATAGATTTAGAATGGCAAGAAACTGATATGAAAGAAGCTTTCTGATTGTCTGTGTGCAAGAAAATCAAAATGGTACGTGTGAAGGCAGAAAGGGGAGAGCTGTATCTCCCTTTGTCAAGATTAGTAAAATTAAATCGTCTAATATTAAAAATTAATAAATTAAAATTATTTGTGGCTGTCAAGGAAAATGAAAATAGTGAGAATACAAGTCAAAAGTTTTCACCCAGAATCAACCAAATTTTAGTCTTAAAAACAAAATGGCCTTTGTTCATTAACAGGAAAGTAACCAATGTTATTTAGTAGCTAGTGTTACCTTTAAAGTAATTTACAAGAATATAAAATATACAAATCTTCAAATCTAAGGAACATTGGGTCTTATCCTCCTTCGTGGTTTTAAGACAAGCCTATCATAATTTACTAGTTTAAAGATTAAATTTGAAAGTTAATGCTTGCTTTTTTAAGTGAAAAATTAATAAATTGGAAAGAAATTTATTCTTTTAATTTGATTAATTATTGTATTGCTAATAACTTTTCTATAAGAAAAAATGTTAAAAATAATGACAAAATGCTAACTATGTTTCTGTTCTGTATGTATCAAACTCTGGTAAGGTTACTCTTAAGGGAGTAGGGGAAAAAAATTAGTAACAAAAATTCATATTCATTTAGAATTCTGTATTTCAATATTGAGTCCAATTTTCTAAGCATTTCAGCTTATCAAAGTAATCATAATTTTGCTGTATATTATTAAGGATAAAAATCCTAAAGCAAGTTCCTTTTATCAGAAATTTATGCACTTTTTATTGCTAAAATTAAGCATTTTTTCTTTATAATAGAATGCCATAATTTTTTTCTAAATGTTCATTTATTAAATGTTACAATTTTATTTTATACACTTGTGAAAATTTGTTTCTGCCATTAAGATTTCTGATATTTTTTTAATAATTTATTATGTTTTGTTTATTTAGTATATTAAATATTTCAATTTATATTTTTTATTTCTAGCCAGAAATAAGCACTTATGCTCCGGAAGTACTGCCAATACTTTTTGAATATTTGCAACAGACTTGTATGTTATTACAACAGGGAAACAAGGATCCACCCAGTCTTATGCGAACTTTTTATGCTGTTGAACGTTTTTGTGAAAATTTAGGTACGCTTTTAAAAATATTAATTTACTTAGAAGTTAATATGCAAGTAAAAATGTTAAATACATGTATCAGAAATTTAATTTAAATGAATAATAATTTATTCAAATACAGGCTAATGCACAATAAAGATACAAAATACTTGTGTCTGAAATTTCAGCATTTTTTTTAATTAAGTATTGGGTGAATACATTGTACAGCTCTTAAGAAAATATACATAATTATGAATTGAGAAAATGAAAATATATAATCCGAGTGATTCCAAAATTTAGAAGTATAGGTTTTCAGAATTAAGAATTGTGGAAAGCTCGATGTATTTCTCTTTTTGCAAAAAAATTTTATGGCTCCCCCCCCCCACACACAAACTGACAAAGTAAATAAATTAAAAATTTCGTTTTTTCATATCTCAGAAAGGGAAAAATTAAAGCTTTCAACCTGAAGTAATCTTCAGTGAAAATACAGAAAGAACATAAATTATATGCTGTAACATTTATATTTAATGCCATACAAAATTAACTAAAGTTTAATCTTTTGAATGAAATATAGTTTTTTCAATAATTGTATATTACAGCACAAAGTACATAATCCGGACGTCCATTTTCCGAAATGATCTATAATCCAGACCTGAAAGCCCCAAACTTTTTTTTTTAATGCTTTACGCATGCACATAAAGAATGGCGCGTTATGTATGCTTTACGCATATGCGCGTTGAAAGAAATGTTTAATAAAGTAAACAAATAAATATTAAATTTTTTTTGTAAAATTTGATACCCTTCAGATCATAATTGCTCTTTATTACAAAAATTATGGTTTCATATTTTTAATTATATAATTTCTGCATGCCATCTTACCAGATTTAAATTGATGATCTATAATCCGGAATCGCCGAAGTCCCGACGAGTCTGGATTGCGGACTTTGTACTGTATAATATATTTTGCAAAATTTACAGTTCATCAGCCCTATCTGCATCAAAATATTCCCTTTTTGTAGCTGTACACTTGTCCCATCTCTGTTTCCATTGTTCCTCGTTTTATTATCTTTATGTTGTTTGCAAAAAGGTCATGCGCTACCTCTGCATGACCTTTTTGCATTTTGTGAATAAATAAAAATAAAAATTAAAAAAAAAAAAATACAATGGGCAAAGTCTGGTGAAGAAGTAGAACTGTAGATCTAGTGAGGGGACTAAATTATAAGCCAGAAACTCGTAAAGTTACTACAGAATATACAAGTCCATTGTCATGATGCAGTGGCCATCTATTACCATCACACAAATATGGTCGCAAGTGATGCAGACAGTCTCTCAAACTTTTGAGAACTTATCCCTGGAATAGAGCATTCATTGTTATTCTTGAGCGTGAATTTCATGGTAGATAACAGTGTGAATGTTTAAAAAAATAGGTATGGGAAAGCAGCATGACTTTGTTTTTTTTTAATCAGAACTTTTTTTTTCATTTTTTTCATTTGTGATGTTTTTCTGCTTTCTTGAGTGCATAGTTTCAATAAACAGCCTTCAGTAATTAAGACACAATAACACGCCGAACAAATACTAATTCAGAAGTCAAACAACAAAAATCAGCGTTATATTTTCAAATTTTCACAGGACTAGTTTCGATGGTGGTTCACAGGACTAGTTCATTTATTTGCGCTTTTGCAGCTGTGGATGGTGGTTTGATAAAACCATCGGAACTAGTCCTGTGAAAATTTGAAAATATAATGCTGATTTTTTTGTTTGACTTCTGAATTAACCTTCAGTATTTTTTGAAAGGTTCATTAAAAATTTAATGTTGAATCATTGTTCCACCTGTTTATCAATCTCAGTCATTAACAAGAGCAAAAAAACAAAATGTGATGATATGGCAGTTACTGACACTTGAGTGGAGTATTGCTGTTCCTTTCTGTTCTCCATGCATTAATTCTTCATATGATGGTATATAATGTATTTAGAATATTACTATTGTATTTGAATAATTCAAAAATTAATCTGATCATCAAAGTTTTTGTCACAATAACTATGGTTCCTTTTTTTTTTTTTTTTTAAAGAATCCATGCTCAAATATGCATTCAAATTTTTGCTGTAATTTGAAGTATTTGAATAGCCTCAATTCTTGACAGGATTTTGCAATATATGTAAATGCTTTTTAAGGAAATATAGATGTATTAAAGTTTAGGTACTTCATTCAAATGCTGTCAAGATTAACATCAGGTTTTTTATCAAGAAAAAAAGTTAAGAATTTACATAGCAGACATGTTTACTTCTCACATTCAATAGTGACTGAATTTCTGCTTGATAGTAAATAAATCGCAGTACTTTTACTGGTATTCTAGAACCAATTGCCAGAGTGTATGCTTTTCTTTTGCTTGCAGCTTTTCACATGGCACTTCTAAATGCATTTTTTGGTACATGGTTTTATTTTTTGGTCTAGTTTTGCTTAGCTGAATGCGAAGTAAATTGCCTTTTTCTTTAAAAAAAAAAAAAAAAAAAAAAAAAAAAAAAAAGTGATTTTTTACTTCCTTTTTGATAAATAAAGCTCATAACATTTTTAGAGGAAAAAAGGGGGCAGAAAATGTGATAGATATGACAGTTTGTGAATGTTTGGGGGCAGTTTGAATGAATGTTCACTAGTACTTCATATCAGTGCCATAATAATGTGGAAGTATAAAAGTTTAAGCTATGATAATTTTTTTACAGTTATGAGAGCTTTTCATACTTTATTTCTAGTTTTTATACTCCTTCTGATTTTCAATTAACTACACTCACGTTTGTGAAAATTGCAACACCAAGAAGGAATCGTCATAATTGAATGCAATTTAATACACAGTTGAGTGGTAGTGGTACAAATAAATGATTAAATGTTCAAAGCAAACAAACAAGAACAAGAGATCAGAATCAGTATTTTGTGTGGCCACCACGCGCCGCAATAAGTGCTGCTACACGACGTGGCATGGAGTCAAACAAAGTTTGAATGTCTGACTGAGGAAGAGCATTCCATATCGTTTGTACGCGTACCCAAAGTTCGTCTGCAGACGCAACAGGACGAGGATCACGAGCAAGACGCCGACCAATGACATCCCACACATGTTCAATTGGCGACATATCCGGGGAACACGCAGGCCAAGGAAGAAGCTGTACCTGCTGCGCTGCAAAGAAGGATTTAACAATCCGAGCAGTATGAGGGCGGGCATTGTCCTGTTGAAATACAGCGCCTGGCAAGCTTTGAAGGAAGGGAACAGCTTCGGGCTGTAGAACTTCACGGATATACCGGTTGCTGTTCAGATTGCCCACAATTCGTAGCAATTGAGATCGTCTATGATATGCTATGGCGCCCCAGACCATAACTCCGGGTGTTCGTCCACTGTGGCATTCGATAATGCACTCCGGAAGGTGGCGTTCACCGGCATAGCGTCTGACACGAATGCGGCCATCATGGTACCACAAATTAAAGCGGGATTCGTCAGAAAACACGACATGCTGCCAATCAGCACGCCAGTCTCTATGCTGATTGGCCCATTGTAGCCGCAGGCGGCGATGGTCGTGCGTTAGGGGGATCCTGTATAAAGGAGTCCGTGCGCGCAGTCCACACTGCAGCAGACGTCTACGAATTGATGAAGCACGCAATGAAACACCTGTAGCTATTGACCACAGTGCTGCCAATTGTCTAGAGGAAGCTGTACGGTCCGTCCGCGCCATGCGGACCAGGTGTCTATCATCGCGAGCTGACGTCACATTTCGGGGTCCACTCCCGGATTTCCGAGTTGTCTGACACTCGTCCGTCCACTGCTTCCAAACGCGCATCACTGTGCTGCTGTTACGCTGCACACGAGAGGCTACTGCACGATACGACAATCCAGCTTCACGAAGGCCGATGATTCTCCCTCGTTCAAACTCTGTAAGTTGTTCAAATCTCGCTCTCTTTCGTCGACGAGGCATAAGTACAGATTGAGTTAACGTTTACCACTAGCAGATAACCACCGATAACCATACACGCCTCGCTACAGCCGTCTATTTATTCGGATCCATCAGCCGTTCAGAGGGCGCTGCTCAGCATACGCATGCACTACGGATTTGCAATTCTAATCATTTGCATATCATGCGCTACTTTGCATTTCCTGAAAATTTCAGCTCACTCGCTTAAGTCCTTCATGGTGTTGCAATTTTCACAAACGTTGAGTGTATAATTACAAACTGCATATACATTTGCACTGTAAAGCAAAAACATTAACAAAGAATTTAACCTTTTCTATTGTACCCAATGCATCTGTTTGTGATGCTATGTATTTCACATTAGCATTATATGGAATAACTGTATTATTATGTGCTTTAAAAAAATGAGCATAATGTTTAGAGAATTTGTTAATCTTTTAATTAATGTATTTTTTTAAAAATTATTTTGCAGAAGATATTGAACCTTATTTGCCAAATCTCATGAACTGTTTATCAATGTTTCTCACTATCAACACAGAAAAGTCTATTACTGTGAAAGAATTAGCTATTGAAGCCATTGGTTCTGTAGGTAAGTTCATGCAATCACCTAGATGAATATTAATTGCATATGTGTATTATGTAGTATTTTTTGGTAGTATCTGATTTTCTGCATTGGCAATTTCAACATTCAGTAGCTTATTCTAGTGGGTTATTTTCAAGGCTATTTGCAACAATAGTCAACCCATACATGTGCTCACTTGCCGATTCATGTTTGAGTGTGCTTGGATTCGTAAGCTTTATATTTAATTGTCATTTCGTCAAGTGACATACATCAGTTGCAAAAATGTAAATCTTAGCCATATAATATTTTTTCCTCAGAAAATTTCTGTTTTCATATAAAATGCTCCCTTTTATTATTATTTATAAACTGAACAGTATCTCTGTGTTATAAAGATAGCCAAGTGTTTTTGAATAATTCACAGAGTTGTCATTGAAATGGTGATTTTTAGTGGGGAAATGGATAAATTAAAAAAATGCATTTAGCGCATAAATATTCACATTAAGATTTGATAGTTGTGTAAATATTTTTGTGTAAGATAAGAAAAAAAATATGTTGCTGTGAATTATGCATTAAATAGCCCTTTAATTTCTCTTTTTAATTTGGACACCTTCCCCTCTCTATTCTAAAATTTGTAATAGCTTCTTTAAAATTGCATCATGTCTGAAAACTAATTCTGCATTATATCATCTTAATCTTCTGCATTGTGTATAGCTCTTGGCTAGTCAGATAAAAAAAAAAATGTTATTACAACAACCATTGCAATTCAACTATGCATTCTCTTTCTATGCTTGCTCATGCTTAACTCACATCGAAGCAGTCCAACTGTTCAGACATCCATAGGTCACCCCGAACGCCTTAATGGTTTTCTACTTAGTGCTTTCCTCCATTATGTTAGTGCATTGCTCATTGTTTTTGGGAGTTGTTAAATGACATGCCAGTCATTCTTTTGAAGCGACTAAAAATAGTTCTGTTATTTTAATGCACTTCCCTTTTCTATTGTTTACTGTCAGTGTTTAGCTATTGATGCTTGAAATTACAATCCTGTCCCAAGGGGAGACTGCACACAGTGGTGAAAGCGTCCAAGACAGAAGTTATTGCTTTTTAAGTAGGTTGTTGTTAGCTCTGTAGCTTCTGCATGTTATGGGGGAAGGAAATCCAGTCCAACAAAAATACATATATATGGGCATTTCAGATCTTTGAGAGAAATAGATTTTGGGCTTTGCCGATGTGAAAGAGTTAATGTATGTTAGCTGCTCTGCAATATCGTCTTTTATTTTAAAATGTAAATGGCCCATTTTCAAATTTTGCTTATATATGCTGTCCCAGAAGAAAAGAAAGAAAATTCGAGATAAATTATGATTAAAGTTTAATATGAGCAATGCATTCCATAAAGATTATTATAAATATATTTCTACAATTCAAAGTATTAAAAAAATCAATTGAAATTTTTTAGATATAAATCTTAAAATGTGTGATGGTAAGCAAAAATGCCTATCCCTTTCAAGTTTTGTGTTATTCAGCCTCATTGTTTTGTATCCTAATTTATTTTTTAAATAAAGAAATGAATAGAAAATAAAGAAATGAAAAATAAAGGAATTTTTTTAAATATGAACTATTAGTGTGTTATATTCATGATAAAAATTAATTACAGAAGTTTTTTTTTAATAAATCAACAGAAAAATAATTTGTCTTCCACTTCATGTCAAGTCCATTCATTACCTTGAGATTATTTTACTCCAAATTAGTTTGTAAATCTGTCTAAAAGGGGGCAGTACATATTCAGTGACATAGGTAAACTACTCAAGCTAAGTTTGACTACTTTGAATATGTACTGCTCCTCTTTAGGCAGATTTGCAAACTAATTTTGAGTAAAATAATATCAAGATAATGGACTTGACATGAAGTGGATTCCAAATTATCTTTCTTGACTTTCTAAATTTGTATTTAAAAATTTTCAATTTTTTTTTAATATTTTAAGTTGTAGAAATATATTTATAGTCATTTTATGCAATGCATTGCTCAAATTAAACTTTGAATATTAATTTATCTTGAATTTTCTTTTTCTTCTGGGACATCATATGTAAGCAAAATTTGAAAATGGGCCAAATGCATATATTAAATTGGGGTGCACTTTTACCACCCCTACTGTTGTACCAGTTAAGAATGAATGAAATTCGTTGTCCAAATATAAAAATGAAAAAAAGAGTTTTAATTATCAAGCCAACTGTGAATTTTTTTTGCAGTTATCTACAGCGCAGCAACTTCCAGCTATTTGCTTTTTCTGTCCTCACCACGACTGCTATGCAATTGGTTTCATCTTCTGCTAAAACTGCAACATTGCATATGAGTATTGTGTGTGTATATTTATAATATTTAACACAAGATAAATTATATGTTTAAAAATAAATAAAAATAAATTATATGTTTAAAATTGAATCCCATATTCAGTTCGTAATAAAGCATATGCAAAAACCAGAAGCGCAGTGGCAAATTGCAAGGAAAAGGGGATAAAACATGCCAAAACAAAAATGGAATGAGAAATTTACATCTTTCGCTTCATCGTCATCAGGGGGTTGGTGCAACTATTGATTATTGAGACTGTATTTCACCTAGTAGTTGTTGGAATTATAGTATTTATAGAAAATTTAATTTCAGTAGATAAGAAGGTTCAAATTTTAGTATTTCTATGAATGGCAGTTGCGAATCTTCGCTTATATATGAATAGTTTTGTAATATGAAAAGCATCTTCTAGAAATCTGCATTTGAAAGCCTAAGAGCATAGTTATCTTGATAAATATTTGTTTAAAGTCTGCTAGAATTTCTGTTTAAAGCAATGAAAATTTGGGTAGTTTTGATTGAACAACAATGGATTTCTTTATTTGATCGAGTTATGAAAAATGTTTGAATTTTTTCTTCTATATTCTGTCATGTAAATAATATATAAAAATTGAAATTTGGTATATTTTTGTTGAAAATTATCACATGACCAAAGCTACTGCAGACTGAAAATCTTTATTTAATAAATAATTTTGTTACTTAAATATGATCTGTTTGTACAAGATACATTTAAAAGATATTTAGGCATGCAGTCATTTTGAAACAACCTGTTTAAATTTATGAAATTTTCTTCACATTGAATTTTATTTCTGAAACTATGTGTTTATTTCCATACTTTAATTTTAGCTGCAGCTGCCAAATCTGCTTTTGTTCCATATTTTCCCGCAATTGTGGAGCATTTAAAAAGATTTATTTCTGAGAAGCAAACCGATTCGACAAGACCACTTCAAATACAGTCTATTGGTATGTATCAAGTCAGACTTTCCCTCTTCTAATTATTAATCTCAAGACACATTATATTATTAATATTAGTTTATTGGGCATTGATGGGATGGGTGGAAAAGAGGCATATCCCATAAAATCATAATTTTATTTAAAAAAGGGGATGTGCAAATGTCATCTTGTAGAAATTAGATTGTCTGATTGGAATTATTCAAACTTGAATTTAACTGGTATGACACTGTATGTATACTTTTAAATATTAAGGGGTAAGAAATGAGAACTAAACAATATGTAGTGATATTAAATTGTAATACAGATAAAACTGTTGCTTATGCCCTTAAGCCCTGTGGCCCCCTTTTTTGTTTCTTGTGTGTGAGAAAAGTATTCAGAAGTCCAGGATTAATCATGCATTACTTATATAAATATTTGTTGGCCAGGATGTTATCAGTATTTCTAAGTTTATAGTAACTTGGACAGTACATTTAAATAATTAAACGAATATTCTTCATGTAAGATTTGTTGAAATTGTATATTATAATATAGTATAATTAGTATCTCGGAAATATTGAACTTTTCCCAGTTAAATCTGGATATTCTCAGTAAGACTAGTTTAATGTTATGGTGATATGCCAAAATATTTCTGGGAGAAGTGTTCAGCAATCGATATGCTAATATTCAGGAAATAACAAATGGGAATTTTATTTATTTTTGGGTACATACTGTTATGATAAACAGTCTGTGGGTATGAATTGTTGTCATAGGCTGCCTCATTGTGCAAGAAGCTCAAAATTAGTAGATGTGCAACATGTGCCTCTTTTCCATTGGATCATCCATTTCTTAGTAGAGGAAAATCCTAGTTTTATTGTGTTAATTTTTTTACTTGATTTATTTCTGATAAATTAATTTTCCTTTTTTTATTTGAATTTGAATAGTGTTTATGGTACAAGGTGCTCAGTTTTGAAATATTAGTTAATAGAATTTATACACAGAAGAAATAAATGTGCATAGTTTCTAGACATATTTTGCTTACAGTATATATTGGGAATGATATCTGTCTGACTCAGTGCCTTTGTCTACTCATTTCACCACATTGTGTTTTCCAACATATGTGCACTGTAATGTCATACCTTCTTCATGTGCCATCTCATAGAGAAATAATTCCACCTTCTTTGTAATTTTAAATGTTTATTACACATAACAAAAATACTCACTAGATCACTAAACTACACTACTAACTAGTGACATATTTCTGATACATATGCACAGTTGATTTTTATGAAACTATATATTTATAATAATGTTGTTTTGTTAACTTTGACCTATCCAGATATTCATAATAATACTTGGTTTCTTGAAGTAGGAAATCAAATACATAATAATCAAATTCATGTTAATTTTTTTCTTCCCACATATTTTAAAATCATGAAATTTCATATATTAAATCTTTAGCAGTTATCAATCTTGAAACACAACACAAGAAGCATGACTTGTGGATATAGTAGTAGCATACACATTCTTGTACAGTCAAAAGTCGTTAATTCGGACACCCATAATCCGGACCTCAAAGCTAAAAACTTTCTGTGCATGGGTGCGTTGACACATGCGCATAGGCGTTTACGCGTGCGCGTAAGACCTTTTACCACTGCGCATATGCGTGTGCGCAAGTGCAGAATACGTTTTCGCGTGCGCATTTTATGTATAATGGATGGTATAATCTAAAATTATCTATTTCAGTTAATGTTGATGATTGCGTTGTTCCTTAATCTTTGAATTGGATCCGGTTTATTATTTTTTGCAGACTGTAAGAGCAATTTTATAAAAGTAAGCTTGAACTTTCGATTATGTCTAAAAGAAATTCCGATTCTGGAGCTACCGAAGGATCTACAAAGCGAAAGCATGTTTCGATGTCCATCAAACAAAAAGTGGAATTGCTGCAAAAAATGGATAAAGACATGAAGAATGTGACAGATAGGTTAGTGAAAACGAAAAAATTTCGATTGACAAGTTAGTCGGTATTCTCGGCACAACAATTAACGGGACTTGAACAGTGGAACTTGTAAACTGAACAAGAAATTGTGTCTGTGTTATAGAATTAAAGAGAAAGTATTATCACATAAAACGAAGCAACTTAAAAAAAACTTACATTGAAAGAAATGTTTAATAAAGTAAACAAATAAATATTAAGCTCTTTTTTTTTTTTTTTTTTTTTTTTTTTTTTTGTAAATTTTGATACTTTTTAGGTTATAATTGTTCTTTATTTCATAAATTAAGGTTTCATATTTTTAATTTTAGAATTTCTGCATGCCCTCTTACAAGATTTAAACTGATGATCTATAATCCGGAAAAATCGATAATCCGCAATCGCCGAAGTCCCGACGAATCCGGATTAACGACTTTTGACTGTATTAATGTTGTTAGTACAAACTTTCATTTGAATACATTTTAAAATAATTCTTGAACATTGCTTAAAAATTTTGATGTTTTCATTTTAATAGCTTAATAGAGTCATAAAAAGTAATTAAAAAGTTATAGAAATAATTTAGCAATGATATTATTCCTAAGTTCTTATGTTTAGAACTCCTCACAGTTTGCTGAATTTAAAGAGACTTCTTATAAATTTTTTGTTAATTTCAGATACCCTTGCACTTATTGCTAGAAGTGTAGGACCTGAAACTTTCTTACCAATTGCTCACGAGTGTATAAAATGTGGTTTATATCTAATGCAAGAAGTTGATGATCCAGACATTCGACGATCATGGTATGTAGTTTAATGTCAAAATTGGATCTTCCAGAATATTTAACCCCTTCGCGTCGAGTGTCAAGTCTACATTCCAGCAACGAACACACTCACTTCCCGGCCGACACGCAGGCATGCCAGAGCGTTTTCCCGTTCAGCCCCGACTGCCACGTATTTGTGCCAGTGTCCTGGAACGTTTTAAAAACTATAATTTCTGCCACAAGATGGCACTGTATGCCTATATGGTTTCAGATACATGTACATTAGACCTTCTACTCGAAATGAGAGAAGCATGACTCACATACACATGTTTTTGCTTATATAAACAAAAGGGGAAAATAAATGTTTCCGAATGGCGTGCTTTATGACATCTCTTTAAATTAGCATGCGGTAGTTGCTTATTGTAAGTAGAGAAGTTTTATTTTCGCTAAAGCGTTGGGTATTTCAGTTTGCAGTTCAGTTTTTAGAAAATAATTAGATCTTGTTAGACATGAATTCTTTCTGTTTTTACCGTTGCAATGTCGAAGCGTCGAAAATGTTTAACAGAGCATGAAATAGCAGAAATGATCCAAAATATTTCAGATATTGATTCTGAAACAGATTGTGATAATAGTGATAGTGATACTATGATATATTCTGATCATAAAGAATCTGGCGAATCTAATGATGATAAGGACATTTCAGACCTGTATGCCGAGTACGTCGAAAGCAAGTACTTCTCCATGGTCATCCACAATAGAAAATTTATTGGAATTACCATTTAAAGTTGTTCCTGGAATTAAAGTGGATAATTCGGTTGAAGAAGAAATTGATTTCTTTAGGTATTATTTTGATGATACAATAATGAAATTAATTACTGAAGAGACTAATCTGTATCAGAGGAGTAAATATCCTGAGGATGAATCTGGAGCAACTTCTTCGAAGTATTTACCTGTTTACAGTGGAAGAAATGTTTGTTTTCTTTGCTCTAACAATTTTGATGAGTATTATAAAGCCGGTATTATAAAGTATATTTTGATGAGTATTATAAAGAAACCCACAATCAAAATGTACTTTTCAACGAATCCCATGCTTGCAACGATATTTTTTAATAGTGTAATGAGTCGTGATCGATGCGTTGTAATTCTTAGATGTTTACATTTTACTAGCAGCGATGCCAAAAAAATCGGAAAGCTTCAACCAGTTTTAAATAAAATAATTGAAAATTTCAAGTCCGCTTAGAACCCTGAGAGGAATATATCAATAGATGAAAGTTTATTACTGTGGAAAGGAAGACTTGGATTTCACCAATACATCCCTTCTAAATGGTCGCGATATGGAATTAAACTTTATAAATTAAGTGACTTTATAATTAAAGTAATAATTAAGTGACTTTATAATTAAGGTATATATAAAATATCTATAAAGCATAAGCCATTTAAATACTCTATAGAGCATTATTAAACAATGCTTTGATACTTCGGAAATTTCATGGATTTAGGCTTAATAGCAAGAAAGCCCTCGGCCCTGGACAGACGCTCACGTAAGACACTGCCGGCCTCCGCGATAAGCGCGTTTGCGCTACCCGGCGCAAAGGGGTTAAAAATCTTTTCTGTATGTTTGGCTGTGAAAATTTATTTATTGTTGCTTAAAGCTTGGTGCTGTAATTACATTAACAGTATTTAAGGTGGGGGTTATTTGTATTATATATCTAAAAGCTGATTACATTTTACTAACTAATGCTTTATTTTCTTTCACGGGTAATATTAAATTCTGGACTACATATTGCCCATTGTAGCTTGGTTAAATGCTGGGGGAAAGACTAAGACACGTCTGATTTTAAAAAATTGGCAAAGAACTAAAATACGAATTTTTAACATTTTATTCCTTCTTCATGTATTTAAAATTTTAAAAATGTGTTTAAACTTTTTAAGCTTTTTAGTTTAAATAGCATAGGAGGATTTCAATGCTTCCTTGAAAGAGTTAATCTAATGCATGTGCAGTTTTAAGAGCAAAATTAAATTTAAAAAAAATCTTATCTCTCTTTCTCGTTTTTTTTTTTTTTTTTTCCTTTATTATATCAGGAAAGCTTACATCTTTTTTAACTTTGCTATTATTATTTATTTATTATTATCTGTGTTAACTCTGCTAAAAGTTTCTGCCTCTGTCACTTAAAAAATTTCTGGAATGTAATTTGATTATGATCATGTACAGAATTCTCAAAACTCCACGTTCAGACTTTGAAGGAAGGTAAAAGCACATCAATATGAAACATATGAAGTTCACATGTGGAGTTTTGAGACACTTTATACATATGTAATAGTGTGTATATATATATATATTTGTAGTAGACACTTTATACATATGTATAGTGTGTATATATATGTGGAGTTTCGAGACACTTTATACATATGTATAGTGTGTATATATATATATTTGTTTCAAATATATGTTTCATATATATATATATATATATATACAGAGAGAGAGACATTTGAAAGCAAAATGATAGTGTTATTAATTTCATATTGCTTTGTAAAACAGACATAATTTATTTTTCTCTGCATTGAATAAAGAGAAATTTTATTAACTTAGATCATATTATAGCCATATTGCATAAAATAAATTGTATATTCTACAGCTATTGTCTATTTTCATCCGTGTCTGTGGTTTTAAAAGCCGAGATGGGACCATACTTGTCTACCATTGTAGAACGTATGTTACTGTCAATCAAATCTTCAGAAGGAATTAGCGTGAGTGTGAGTATTTATTTAAATCATCTTTCGTGCAATTTCTGTCTGTTTATCAAGTGACACCGAGACGTTGAATAATATTTTTGCATGAATATACATCGTTTTTCAGTATATATTAGTGACATTACTTCATTTTATATTTTAAATTTAATTTGGCCTGGAGGGAAAATTAACAAAGAATTACAAACATTAACATGCATTGTCAACTTTTGTTACAGTAAGAAAGTTGTTTAAAGACAAAAACAAATCAGCATAATTTATAATAGCAGAAATACTTCTTTAGATATATGGAGTGAAAAAGAAATTCTATATTAAACTGTTAAAATATAAAATAACAAAATAAAATATGTAATAGTGTTATCTCTTTAAAGGCAGGTGGAAGATCCATAGCCAGTAAGTTATAGATTATTCTGTTATTTTCTTCAATTTTTTAAATATTATTTGAAATATTTTATGACTTTCCCATTTCAGGGCTGCTTCATTAGTTCCCTGATTTTCAATTTACTATCTTCTTTTTAATGATACACAATGAATTAATTATAAACAGCAAGTACTTTCTTTCCTCAGCAATGGCAGCTTTAAATGCAAATAAATATACAAACTCTGATATACTCTGAATACAAAGTTCAGATTGATATAGATATTTATCAAATGAGAATGAATGAGAGTAACCCAGGGAGTAGTACCTCTTTTCATTTCACTGACATAGCCACTGAAAGAATAACTATTCTCTAACAAATATGTGGAAATTAACAATAACAATATCTAGCACATAATACTAAAATAAGTCAGGTGTTGGCTGAATATCGTCAAATAATATGCTTTTTTACCTCTTTACTACACAAATTATTTAGAGTCGTATCTTCAGTCAGACCATACCTGTTGTGCGAAAACTGATTACTGGAGCTAAGATACAGTCAGGATCTTAATTGTTAATTTCCCTATTAATACTCTTAAGTTTTTGTGTAAACAACAAAAATATTTAAAGCTATTAATGTTGCATTTTGTTTATTTTTCTTTAACTGGATTTATTTGATTGCAGACAAGATATGGTGACACTAATACGGCATTTACGTTGTTTGAAGATGCTGATGAGGAATCTGAAAATGGTGATATGAATGATGAAAGTTTCACGAATTTAGAAGAAGAAGAGGATGAGGATGATGCTGATATAACTGGGTATTTTATTTAATCCCATTGCCTGAATTTTGCACAGTATATTACCCAAAACTCTGTCTCCTTTGCTTAAAACCATAGAATAACATTCTTGTGCACATCTGCATTGACTACAATCCACCTTTGCAGAATTATTTACTCCCTCAAGCATCCCCCCTGCTGCCGCTGCCCATGTACTGTTGCCCATACCGCTTATCAATTCAGTTAAACATTGTTCGAATGCTTGGGAAAAATCTTCAAATGAATGACTTCAAAAGAGAGCATCACACATGCGAGCTTTCTTCGCAAAGAAAATGATGTGCAAAAATTAATATATGAGATAGTTAAAATTTGGATAAGAGCTAAATAAATTTTATATGGATGGAAAAAGTATGAATTTAAGACATTAAAAAACATAAAAGGCTAAAACTGTGAAACTATAAACATGATTATCACATTGTAAAGGTATACTTTGGTTTTCAGAACAAATCTGATATATATATTATATATTTGATGTATATGTGCCATATACAGAATAATGTATCTAAAGTATTATATAAAGTTTTAAAATCTCAGTGTGAACATTAAATTAAATGATAAACATGCATATATTTTTTTTTATTTGAAGAGATTGAAATAAGTTTTTCTGATCTGGTCATATAAGGAATAAGACGTACTGTTAAAAGATGAAGAATATTGTACACTAAAACCAGGGCAGTTAATTATAGTGTGATTAAGATATAGCAAAGTTTTACATTTGTTACAGTTTGGTGCACTCTTTTTACAGTAAATACTGATGAGTGATCAATTTTAGGATGTATAAAAATTTTTGTTTTTATAAATCAAAATAACTTTTTTATCCTAAAGCATTTATTTTATCTTTAAAATTTTTCTTGGTTTCACCTTGTATTTCTCTTTTTCTTTTAATGGATTATAAGATTTATAATTTTTATTTTAATGTTTAATTAATTTCTCTTTCAATCAAGGTACAATGTGGAAAATGCATATATGGAAGAAAAAGAAGGGGCTTGCTTAGCATTGAAAGAAATGTGTAAAGAAATAGGGTAAATTATCCTCTTTATATGAATTCTTTTTAAAATTGTAGTTTAGATCAAGATGATGTTTTGTGTTTGTCTTATGATTTTTCTCTAAGTACACACTGGGTTGACCTGACAGTAGAGTCATTTGCAAATGACACATGAAAAATAATGGAACCTGTATTTAAAGAGCCTTTATTAGCTAAATATACATATTTACCTATTTTAGTCTTTATTTTCATAAACTTGGATTCATCAAGATGGCATTTATATTATTAACGAAAGTAAGAAAGCAAAATGTCTTAAATTATAAGCTAATATATAACAAGTGACAAAAAATGTCATGACTGGATAAAGCCGGTCATGGTGTTCATAGGGTTAAGGTAATGAAATCTGGTGTCTGTAATATGACTGAGAAACAAAATACACGGTGGAAAAGGACAGTCTTCTTCCCCCCCTTAAAAAAAGGCACATATGTCAAAACCAAAGGCTAAGGTGAGGCTCATTGTATATGTATATATTTATTATTATTATTATTACAAAGGATGTATTCACAATGAATTTATACCTGAAAATTGGTCAGTTAATCAAAGATGTGCTTTTTCAATTCGGAAGCAGGATAGGATGAGTTAGAAATTAGTAGTCTTTTTCTTATTTGAAGAAGCTTTTTTAGAAGCTTTTTTGCTTATTAAGAAATTGTCTGTTTACTTAATGAGCACACCTTGTATGCATTTATAGTATTTTAAAATAAAATTTAATGTAACTCTCTAACTAATTTAACAACTTGTTGCTAGTTATTTTGTCTTTTGGACCTGTTTTGAAAATTACATTGGTTGGAAATATCAGAAGTGGAATGTGTGTGTTTTGCTCCTTTATTAGCAAATGTCTCACAGTTGTTTAAATCTATTTTGAAATTATTACACATAATCTAATTTAAAAATGAATTATTTAAAAACAGACTGTAATGTGATTTTCATTTGTAGCAGACAGTATATGTTTTGCTAATTGTAGTGGATGCTTTAATCCTCATTAGCAATATGAAAAATTGTTTGTCTCAGTTATAATTCATCATTCAGCTTAATATAATTTAAATGCAAGCTTAATATAATTATGGATAAAATCCCACTGCCTTAAGTATTAAATTTAAATAAGTTACCCAAATCTCTGCATTAATGAAATAAACTGCAAATCAAATTATATATGAAATTGAATACAACAAATTCTTTTGTAGGATGCATATTTTTTGGTTTGAGTAAGGTTGTTTATATATTATGTATTGCATTATTAAATCAAGTGAATATTTAATTTTAAACGTGGTGCATAAATATTCATAACATCTGTTTCATTATAGGGAGTACTTTTGTTTTAGAAACTGAACAGGGACAAAGAAGATTTATGAATTTTGTCAGTTTATTGCCATTTTTTTGTTACATTTGTGTTATATTTTGTGTGTTATATACTCTGTTTGCTGTTCTCTACAGTTTCACATAACTGTAGTTAATGTAAATCTTTAAATATATTAATATGTAGTGCAGAGGCAATACTACACTGGTCAATTATGTTTCTAGTATGGCTTAAAGCCTTAGAAATATAATACTTTTTATAGCCATTTATGTAGTATTATGATTTAAGTGGTACATATACCGTCTTAATTTTGTGATATTTTATTTTGCTGTTTATTTTCATAACCTGCTGCATGTAAACATGATTCCAAACTAATATGAAATGTGACAAAAATGTTTTGCCAATTAAATTAATAAAGGTTTGGTTCTTCATTTAGTTATTAAAGTAGCCTTATTCTTTACATTGTATTTTTCTCCTGCAGTGTCAATTTTCTACCGTATATTGAAGTTTCATTTAATGAAGTCAGAAAGCTCGTGGAAAGCCCATCAGATGATGTTAGAAAAGCAGCTGTAAGTACTTTGGGACAGTTCTGCATCACACTTAACCAGATTTATACAGAAACTGGAAACCTGGAACTCAGAGTTGGTAAGGAATAATTATGATCTGATAGTCGTATGATGTTCTTGTAATGCAATATTGATCTGTTTTACTTGCTCGTATTGTAACTTTTATGGGTGGAATTAAAGTTTATTTACTTATTTTTGTTTATTAAGGACTTATTGGTAATAAAATCAGGTTTCCATTTTCAATTTTCACAGTATATGTTTATTTATTTATTTTTAATTGCCAAGTTCTGAAAACTACTATAAATCCTCCCTAAGGCAACCATTTACACTTCTAGATGATTGGATGACTTTTTATTTAGAATGCAAAAAAAAAAAAAAAAAAAAAAAAAAAAAAATTGTAGGTATTAAAAGTATCATAGGTAAACCGAAAATTGGTTGGTACAGTCAAAAGTCTTTAATCCAGACTCGTCGGGACTTTGGCGATTCCGGATTATAGATCATCAGTTTAAATCTGGTAAGATGGCATGCAGAAATTATAAAATTAAAAATATGAAAAAATAATTTATGAAATAAAGAGCAATTATGATCTAAAAGGTATCAAAATTTTAAAAAAAACTTTATATTTATTTGTTTACTTTATTAAACATTTCTTTCAACGCACGTATGCGTAATTAGAAAATTGCAACCAGAAAACTATTTGATGTGTATTCGTGATATTTATAATGACGAGGAATGTGATTTAAATCATATCAAAGACAGAGTACATCGAGATGAAATACTACATTTAGTAAGTAATTATAAGCCGAATAAAATAAAAACATCTGCCCTGAAGATAAGGATAGTGCTGACAGATCAACTTCCAGTTCATTGCGTGTCATCCTTTGGTAGCTCTAGAATCGGAAATTCTTTTTGACATAATCGAAAGTTCAAGCTTACTTTTATAAAATTGCTCTAACAGTCTGCAAAAAATAATAAGCTGGATCCAATTCGAAGATTAAGGAACAACGCAATATGCAACATTAACTGAAATAGATAATTAGATATTTTAGCTTCGCTTATACATTAAACGCGCATGCGTAAATGTATTATGTGCATGCGTTAACACATTATGTGTTGATGCATGTGCAGAAAAATTGTAGCTTTGAGGTCCGGATTATGGACGTCCGGATTAAAGACTTTTGACTGTATATAGAAGTAATTTAAAAGTATTAAAGTCTTAAGTCTTATTTAATATTTAGGACTTAATATTTAAAAGTATTAAGTCCTAAATATTAAAAAAGTAATTTGTGCAAAGAAAGAATTTGACATACAGATTTTGTTTTATTTTGATTAGAGTTTTGATTTGCTAATGGAAATTTTCTTAATTTTTATTGCTCTGTTTTTAAATCAGGAGGAATATGTATGTACTATATACAAGGTGCGGCAGAGGAACCTCCTTATTTGAAATGTGCACCATTTAGCAACATTTATACCAAGAAGGGTGAGGTGGCACTCATTGAAAAGAGCAGTGTCTAACGTTTTATGTCATATAAGTTTAGTACTGATCACGCAGTGGATGAGGGAGGAGCGCACGTTCGCCGTGTAGTCGTACTTTTCAAGTGGCCTTTCAATCATCGCCATGCAATGTGCATTCAGAAATCACTTTAATACCGCCCCCATAGATCGTGTTCCTGATTGGAAATCGATTCTTTTATGAGTGGATATCTTTAGAGAAACCGGTAACCTGAGAGAAAAAAAAGACCCAGAGGTTAAGAACCATCAAAGGACACCCGAAAACATCGAGCCGGTTAGACAGTCAATTTTGCGATCTCCCAGGCAATCTACGTGCAAACATGCAGCTGCTATTGGGATGTCTACTCACCCTCTAAGACAAATTCTACATGAAGAACTGCATTTTCATACATCGCACCATTTATTTTTCCATCCATTTCATCCATCCATCTTTGCAGCTCGCTCGCCTGATTTAGCCCATGTGATTTCTTTTTGTGGGGCTGTTTGCAACAAACGTCCAAAGACCCTGGCTCAACTAGAGAACAATATTCAAGTTGTTATCGACAGCATGTGTTGATATGTTGGTAAAAGTGGAAAGAAACTTCAAAACTCGACTATCTCAATGCATTGACCAGAATGGAGACCACTTTAATGATTATTTTTAAACCATAATAAAAAAAATGTCTCTATAAATTAAGAAAAAATTAAACTGATATCATTTATACTATTTGTGCTAGTCATTTTTAAAATAAGGTAGTTTCCCTGCCACACTGTATATGTTCTTCACATTGTGGAAAAACTGCAACACCTACCAAAGTTTGCATGCACTTGTCTGCACCATAACATGTTTGAATGCATAGTCCTTCACCCAAGCATATATATTTCTGAAAAGCATTAGACGTTAACTTAAAATTTTAGCAATTTAGAAAGAAATATGTTGCTCCTTGGCAGAGTCTAAGAAATCAACAAACTCAAGGTTTTAAAAGAATTGTCATTCTTCCGAATAAAATATTTTTCTCTTTCATGCACTAGTGTGTTGCTATTCGGCAAAGCTTTGTATATTTAATTTTTCTTTCAAATTTAATCTGTCAGTTGTTGATTAACAAATTAAGCAATTTAAAAGTAAAACATAGTTCTTCATCTCTTATTAATTTCTATCTAAATTACACTAATGGACTTGCATTGTTATCTATTTATAATAATTATTTTATTGGCTAATGTTATAAATTTGGACATTTGGAAAAAAAAAATTGAATGTATATATTAGATTGTCTGCAGTATTATAGTGGGAAAAAATACAGTATACACAATTTACACAATTGTTTAAAGTTGCAGTGCATAGATAAAATTAAAAATTTGTAGTTTATTTTGGTAAATTTTGATAATTAATTATCTAAAAATTAAAAAAGTTAATAAAATTTTGTTGGCAGTATCAGATTTTCAACTTTCTCCTTGTTGCTATTTTTTTTTAATGTGATGTTAAAAACTGCTTAATATGCATGTTTTTTAAAAGATATGAAAATCTAAGATTATCATAATTTTTGCTTATTTTTGCTAAAGATGTTTTCAGAGATGTATACTTTGCTTTTGTTTTGTCAATTTATATATCAGTCTAAAGGTACAAAAATATGAGTAATATTGTGATAATCTTATAATTCTGTTTTTATTTAAAAAATTCCATTTTTATATTTAATTGTTATGAAACTTTCAAATATATTTATAGCATTGGAACAGAATCTTGGTATATTGTTCCCTAAGCTGTTTTCACTATCCAGAGAAGACACTGAGCATACAGTAGTGCTTTCCTGCTTAGAAACACTGCAGAATATTGTTGACAAAATAAAGCAAAATGCTCTTCATGCTGGAAATTTAGAGTCAATGAGCACTTTGATGAAAGATGTGCTCAGAAACAAAGTAAGGAAACTATTAAATTGTCGGTATAGTATTTGTAGTGCCCGTTTTGTTTTGAAAGATTTTTCTCTAGTAATGTATATTTTAAAATTATTGTAAGATATAGTAACTTCTTAATAATAGTTCTCTTAGCAAATACAAATGCATGATAAAAAGAAAGACTAATACAGTACAATTCATTGCTACTTTAATTATCCATCAATCTGGGAACTGTAAACAGATATGTGAAGAGAGACATCGTAAAAACTTTTTGAATTGTTACCAGGTGTGAGCAGCAAGTAAATATAATGTGTCCAAGAATGAAGTGAGGAAAAAGAAGAGCATATGTATCTAAAATTGATACATCTATTGCATTGGGTTTTTCTATAGCTGGGAAGAATACAAAAAGTTTTAATACACCTCTATGTAAAGGCCATTCTCAGTTCGAGTTACATTAAGCCGGCATTCTTGTTCCATATGCAGAGTTGCCAACTCTCCCGATTTAGGCGGGAGACTCCTGATTTTCGACCGCTCTCCCGCCAACCCGATTTACAATATATTTCTCCCGACTTTTTCTTATTCTTAAAATTTCTCACGATTTTTATGCAACTTGGCTTAATACTTTGTTATATGAATAAAAAAAGTGCTTTTGGACGTCTGAAAGCAATTGAATTTTCTCTACATTATACCTAAAACAAAACCTTGCGAATCAGATAGCTTCTGCTTTGTGAGTGAGAGCATTATACGTATTCAGAAACGTCATTCTCCAGTTCTCCAATGGGCTTCGAGCTCCACTGTGTGTCAGCTGGCATATAGGACAAAGCAAGTTGTTATTTGGACGTTCTTTTTAGTTATTTCGTTCATTTTGTCCTGAGTTGTGTGAGCCTTAGGGAAATAGTTTTAGAAATTATCATCTTTTGTTACGTCTGCGAGAAAGGTGAAATACTCGTGTACGTTTCAAAAATCGTACACAGTTGACTTTCCTTCCATTATTTCCTCAAGGAAATGTAATAAATTTGCGATGTGTACCGCCTGTCGTTGCGATTTTTCGATTTCGTATGTTGGAAGGGCGGATGTTCTCAAACATGTGCGTACACAAAAACACAAGGATAACATGAGTTGTTTTGAAAAAAAAACGAAAAATTAAATTTTTCTTCGGAAAACAAAGGACCAAAAAGTTATTAATGCAGAATGTCTGTCCTCTGACTTTTTACTGGAGCACAACCTGCCACTGAATGCATCAGATCACGCTGCAGCTTTATTTAGAAAAATGTTTCCCGATAGTGAAATCGCTAAGAAATACTCAAGGTGCAAGAATCAAAACAGGTGCAATTGTTAAAGAAATGGGTTTGAAAAATAAATCTTCAGTTATTGATTGCATTAAAACAGTTCCGGTCTGCCTCTCTACTGATGGAAGCAATAATACCAATTCAAAACTGTATCCAATTGTTGTTTCTTTTTTGATCCAGAGTCTTCAGAAATTGAGTGCAGTTTACTTTATGTTCCCCCTTTAGAAGGACATTTGACAGGCTTTAATATAGCACAGCTAATTATTAAAACTTTAAAAGAAAACTGCAGGCACTCTGGATAATTGCTTAGCACTTGGTGCCGATAATGCACCAGTATTGGTAGGCTTGGAAGGCTGGTGTTGCAGGCATCTTAAGAAAGGAAAATTCAGATTTCAGATTATGAGGTGCACCTGTCACCTCTTAAATTTAGCAGCTGAAAAAGGGGCAAACTTCTTTACCAATAAAGTGGATGAACACATTGTTGATATTATTATATCTTGAAAGGAGTTCTAAAAGGAAGGAAAAATTGAAACAGTTCCAACAGTGCATAACAGCAGTTTACAATTAGAAAACTTGGATGAAGTTATAAAATCAGCTACGATTGACACCCAGTGGAGTTTAATTGCAAAACTGAAAGGTGCTGATGGAATTTTAAAATATAGTGAACTGTCTAGAATTATGTTGGCCATCTTGATAGTTCCCTATAGTAATGCAGAGTGTGAGAGGATTTCTCAGTGTTGTTGCGAAACATGAGGACTAAATTTAGATCTAATATTAGTGGTGGAAACATTAGAAAAACTTTTATTTAGCGAAAAGCAGGCCTACGGGGCAATTGCGATGAACAAGATTATGAAGTTTCTTAACGAAAGCAAAAATCTGTTACTGTTTCATAACATTTGTACGAAAAGTGATTAAGTGTCTTTTTTTTTTCTTTTTTTTCTTAAACGATGCAAGTAATAAAAATGTTTTTTGTGTGTAAGCGTTATTTTTGTGTTGCTTGCATTTAAGAATTAGTTACTACTTAAAGTTAATTCATTATTAAAAAACTATATTTTTATCATTTAAAAAGTCTTTTTAACATTGTGAAAAGGCCAACCAGCGGCCGAGCGGTAAAGTCGCTGAACACTGGTAGTTCGGTCCGAGGTTCGAATCCCGCGAATGGGCTGGCTGCATGGGCGTTTTCGTGGTTTTCCCCATGTGTAACGTGTATACGAGCCAGTTTCCCTTAGAAAGTCCTCCACGAAGGCATCCCTCCTCTTAGGCAGATAGCCCTCGAGGCTTTGCCATAATCACACTCACACACACTAACATTGTGAAAAATCTCCTGATTTCTGAGTGTCATAGGTTGGCAAGTATGCATATGTTTGAAAGCATCACCGATATGGCTTAGTCCTATTATCTTCGTAATTCGGGCACGCAAATTGAAAATGGTATGGTAATTTCCAGGTCAGTTTTTCCAGTGTACAGATTTTGAGTAGTTCTTCCTTGCTTGCTGGAAATGCATTAATAAACCACAATTTAAGAAATCATCAATTTTTATGTATATGTGTTATTATTCAGGCATCCTGTATGTAAAATTAAATAAAAATAAATACAAAATAGTTTTTAATCAAATGCTAGAACATATATATTTTCTAAGAAAATACAGTACTTTAATTTTTAACTTAATTTTAAATAATTATGACATTGCACTTTTTACCTATTGCAGTGCAGTAACTAAAACATAATATATAAAAAAGGAGCACAGAGTCATATTGCATGAAGTTATACGGACCACTGAGTAAATTATTCATACACAGCAACCAGTCTCATCATTATGCCAAACTTCTGTGAATATATTTAATTGCAATTTTTTTCCTGCACATATTTTTATTTGACACAATAACATTGTGTTCTCTAAAATAGTATAGCCTTTCATTCTAAATATTGTGATAAAAAACCACATTAAATTACATTTTTTTCTTATTTTTATTTTTTAAGGTATTAACAGTGTCTTCATACTTTATATTTAATGTAAACTGTCTTCACATGTAATGTCACTGTAAACTGTCTAGGTACTTCACATGTAATTCAAGCTGATGATTAAAAGAGTGACAGAAAATTGAATTTCCATCGTACAGTGCTGTAATATTCTAAAATCCCAATTTTAAAGAATTTTTAATCTAGTCAATTTTCTTTCTTTATTACATAAACTTTCTGTAAAAAATTTTATGCCAGAAATTCAGAAAAATGACCACTCAAGAACTGTGTAAAAAAAAAAAAAAAGAAATTATTATACCCCCCTCCAAAAGATTGTTTTTAACATCTGTGTATTATTTATAAGCATTTTTTTTCCACTAGTTTTAAATTTTACATCTGCATGTTTCTCTTGTTTTTAATTAATAAATAGTAAGTACCCTGATTTTGGTGGAATTTTGATTTCATTAATTATTTGTCCATATTAAGTAGCCTAGAATTGATTTGCCAATTGTTTTGAAATCTATGCTGCATTCCATCATTTCCACTTTGAGGTCTTTATTAATAGCTCATGCTTACTGCAGTTTGCTTACATTTCTAAAATTTACTTGTCATAAGTTTTACAATATGGGTTGGTAATCTTTTAATGAGCAACAGTATTACTAGCATTTTTAAACAATAGAAAAAATGCAGAATTATGTATAAAAACTGCAGTCTGATGGGGAGCTTCTGCAAGTACCCATAGTATATTTTGTTGTATTTGTTTCAACAAGCAAACAAATTGAGCAGTTACAAGAAGCAGGTCAAGAGAGCCTAACAAGATACATCAGGATAAGATTCAGCTAGTCATGGAAGTCAGAATTGCTTGCAGCCACTCAAATTTTTGCTATTACATGCACAGTTGGTGGTTGAAGAGAGGAGCTAGGTTCCGTAGGAATTTTATTCCATAGATTGCTCTCAATCAAAACTAAAATGAAATTTAGACAGACAGCCCTTGTGTCTAAATTTATTAATCCGATCAAATTTTTCCACTTTTCATTAAAATGAAGTGTTTATTATTTTATGTTTAAGGATACATTTTATTTCTCTGTTCCAGCATTTTATTTTATTTTTTAACATTAGATGTTCCATTTTAAGAGTATGTTATATTATATTGACTAAGTGGTTTTTCATAGCTTTTAAAGAATTAGGGGAATAAAAGAAAAGTTTTAATCCCATATTTGTGCAGAAAATGAATTTGATGTATAATTTGTGATTGTGATTACAAAATTTTTGTATTGTCCTTTGTGTATCTTAAGATTCACTTGCTTTGATTTTTGTTTACAGGATAAATAAGAGAATATCATGAGAACAATAGTAAAACGAAAATAATTGTTTTTTATGTTTTTTTATACTATTTATTTTTTCTTTCTTTCTAAAGATTAGAAATACAGTGATGTTTTACCAGGATGATCTGTAATTTTATATAATTTAATGTTCTGTGTAGGTCACCTTAGAGAACATGTTGAGTATCATTATTAAATTATATTCTGAGAGATACTGTTTACTTTTGGAGATGGTCATCTAAGGGAGATGTTTACTGGTCAGAAATTTTACTGTACTCAATATTTATTACAAATAAGATGTCTAGCTTATCATAAATGTGATAATGTACATTCAGTTAACTGCATTAATACAAAAATTGTTTATTCAGATTTTTATTACTTCTGATTCTCACCTTTGTGATACTGCCTGGCTAAAAGTTTAGAAAAATTAACTCTAAATTTTGAAAAGCACTTCTTGTACATTATGACCAATAAAACTTCTGGCATTGTAGATCTTATTGAGAAAACTAGATAGCAATACTAACTTATAGTTTCAATTACATAGTTCATTTAGACATTTTAATTATTTTTCGATTTCTTCAATAGGAAAAGGGTACTTTTGTGATGGTTTTTATGAAAATGAAGTTATCCTAATTGTTTAATTGATAGTTTTACTATATTATGATTAGATTTCTTTTGGCTATTTTCAATAATTTTTTTGATACAGTAGCTTGAAATTTTTTACTAAACTAAAAATTAAATACAATTTTAATTTTTAGTTGAATATAAGAAAGAATTGCATTTTTTAAGCGTAATTTATTTTACTGTGTAGTGATCTTTCATGGTAGCTTTGCTTTAATCTACTAATCGTTTGTGGCTTGTTTTTTAATAGAAATATGATTTTCATATACTGTGTTTCCACTGCTCTTTTAAAAAATTTGTCCTTTTTAAATTAACATGAAAAAATTAATTAAATTTAAATTAATTTGAAAATACCACTTCAGTGTAGATTGAGTTTGTGTTATGTGAAAATAAATTAATTTTTGTAAGGTATCCAAGTCATATTCTTTAGAAAATAATTTCTTTCTTGATTTGAATTTTTAATGAGACATTAGCTCTAGAACATAAGACATAAAACTAATATCTGTCCTTATTAGCTTGCCTGTCAAGATGAAGATGAAGAAGGTGATGAAGACAGTGCAGAAGCAGAGTATGATAGTATGGTCATGGAGTATGCTGGTGAATTAATTGCATCTCTAATTAAAGTTGTGCCTTGGCAACAGTTTGCACCATATCTGGCTGGCCTGATGCCACTTCTTTTAGCCAGGACTGTGAGTTTAAATTATTTTTATTTGTTTTAATATACTGTTAGATTCCCCCATTTTCACATTATTTCTATAATGAAAGATTGAAAAGTTTAGACTAGCACCTTGATTGTCCATCAATCCCAAAATCACTATTATGACGGGTATCAGCATAGGTGGATAATAGCTCTTCTCATCACTGCCTGACACTGGTAGTTGATAATGGTCTATCTGTTTTTAGTATAGTTTATTGTATAATACAAATGAAAATCAAGAAATTGTTATTTTTGCTCATTATTCTACACTGTAAATAAAAATGTTATGTTTAAAATTTTGTATATGCTTAAAATTTTGTATACCTACTATGATAAAAAGTATAAATATTGTTGAAAAAATGCCTAACTGCGGTAAGATCGCTTCCCCGCAAAGCGTGTTTATGGTTGCCAGAAAATGGGAAGGCAGGGTTGGCATATTTGGTGCGAAACCGCCTTTCTGGCGACAGAATTGGCAACAATTCTAGAACATTCTAGAATGAATTTTTACCAGTTTTCCCTAGAATGTTCTTGAAGGCTTGTCAAAAGCTATATAAACCATGCCTGTATACAGAGTAGCAGTGTATTGTGAGTTTTATCGTTAAGAGTATATTAGTGTGTTAGGCTCAGAGAGCGATGGATCGAGTCAGGAGCAGTATTTAGTGTTTTGCCATGAAGCTGAGTTCACCATTAGAGCCTGAAGGCTGTATTGCTGATTGTTTCATCGTGTTCGTTGTAGATTTTCGACGACTGTAAACTTTTTTTGGAACCGTTGGTGAGTAATAATGGCTAATAAATTGTGTTTTGATTCTTCATCAAGTGTTGTCATCAATCACTCCAAATCCACGGACCCTTAAAACGCCTATATGTTAAGATTTACAATACTCTTCGGTACGCTATTCCTCCAAAATCCACACATTTAGTGGAAAGCCTGTGCAATTGTTGTATGCTTCAATGGAAATCTTTTGGGATTATGATTAGAAGTCTCATCACATCCTCAGTTTCTCAGTTGGAGCCAAAGGCAGCCTTAATACAGAATTTCAGTTTGATGATTTAAAAGTAATCAGATAGTGCCAAATCTAGTTGGTGATTTAATACAGTTGCTTGTTTTTTCAGTAGAAACTTTTGGACAACAGTTGCCTTGTGGCTTAGTGTATTGTCATGCAGTGTGAACTAATCACTAGATTTAAATCAGATCTTATACACTTCGTTTTTGCTTGGAAAAGTTTATAGCAATCATCTTGATGACTGTGCATGGTTTTCGTTCTTTTTTTTTTTTTTTTTTTTTTTTGTTGAAATTTATCATTTCAGCATTATTGTTGGCTGTACTGATTGAAGAATGACTTTCTCTGGGGTCGTCTGTCACATCTTCCTAACTGTCATAGATGACTGATAACATTGGCTCAATGAAAGGCTTCATTTCTGGAGGCATTATCTTTGTGTTTTGAAAGCATTTCCTGGAGTTTTAATTGAAAATTTATCAGTACTCTTAATTCTGTTTTAAAATCCATGATGTGAGGATAACACAGCATGAATTTAAAATGCCATCTCATTGATTGCAGTGCAAATTCACTAGGATAATGAAGAAAATTAAATTTGTGTATCAAATGCCAGTTGGGAACAGTCGTTAGTCATAACATAAATATTAAGCAGTTTAAGCGATAAACAACTTTTATTTTCATAGAATGCATTCATTCTAAACAACTGATGCTTTATATTTTACATAATTGAAGTAAAAGTTAAATATAAAATAAGTAAAATATAAAAAAATAAAAATAAAAAAGTGCAATACATAGCCCTAATAGTAACAATTTTTTTTTATTATTATTTCTGGGACTGTATAACTGAAATAATTGTGCACTAGAGAATTACAGTAATATGTAATTAAGATTTTTAAAGATTTGCCATTTTTCTTTGTATTGATATTCTGTGGGCAAATTTTTGCTGCACAGGTCATTCAGAGCACTTAAAAAGTTTAATTTCACCTTACTAAGGTGAATTATATTTAATAATACATTCTCTAATCATACTGCATTCTTTGAAACATCATTTAAGTATAATGACAAAACTGTGTATTTTTTTTATATATGCTCTATTTTGGTAGATTTATTCTTGTCGTTGTAATGTATCAATGGTGTTAACAGGTAATAAACTATTCATGATTGAAAGAGTAATAAATAACCAAATTTTCATTACAATTTGTATGCTTTATTTTGAATTTGATTAGGAAGAGTTACAAGTAATCTTAATATGATGATAAGAAATCAAAGTAAAAAGAAATATAATTGTACTTTTGTTACATTATGCCCTTATGACTTATTAAATGCACCTGGCAGGAAATATGATGTTGGCAAACAGCGGTCAAGATGGGTACCCACTTAAAAGATTGCTGGTTAGACTCATTGCTGGTTATGAATAGAGAGGCTATACAATAGCAGCTATGTATTCAATCACAACAAATGTTTTCTTTTGGAATCTTATCATTACTGAAATGGTAACACATCAGCATTGAATAAGATGGGGATTTTACGAAAAAATAAAGTATTTTTAATCCTATTTCTGTAAACAATTATTATGGTTTATTTTTGTACTCTTCTTTTGTAACCAGGAAAAACCAGGCTTTAAGAAAGGCCTTAGAATGGAAGTTGTAATTTATAGAACATAATAGATAAGCATTCATTTGAATATAATTATGATTTTTCTATGCAGAGAAAACAGACGAGTATTTTCGAATGTGTTCTTCTTAACATAGTTTCCCCCCTTCTTTGAAATAATCATCACCTGCATTTGTATGTGTACTTTACTAATTTAAAATCTTTACAAATTGTTTTTATTTGATTTGGCTATTTTAGTGGCATTTGTGAATACAGTATTTAAAAATTAAATTCGTAATGATGTACTTTAATTTTTATTCTGATAGAAAAAAGCTTGCACAGTCTCAGAAAAGTCATTTGCTGTTGGTACCCTAGCAGACATTGTGAGTTCGATGGAACCTGGAACTGTAAGGCCATTTTTAAGCCATTTGCAACCTGTTTTCCTCTGTGGTATGAGAGATGAAAATGAGGAAGTGAGAAGCAATGCTGTGTATGGCCTTGGAGTTCTTGTAGAAAATGCTGGAGAAATAGTTTTTGAGTATCCTTTAAAAGCATTTAGAGAAACGATGATGAACCACATTTTACTATGTTTGGTTAGTTAATCACTTTCAGATGGGCTTATTTATTTGTTCAGTAAGTTTTGATAATTGTTATGAAGCATAGTTTTGATTACTAAAATGTTATGCAATTCCCTCCTTTTTTATGCTTTTAATCCCTCATCTATATTCTCTGTATAATTTGTAAGTTAACCATAAATAACATATCCCTTTAATAAACACTCTTGCAACCAAGGCTTCTATCATGGGAGATCTGCTGAATGGGAGTGTATCATTTTCCTGTTTTGAGGGCAAAGAGATTCTGGAACTTATGGCTTGATTCTATTAATCCTTTGCACTCAGGGTCTTTTTCATGTAGTGCACCAGCAACTCGCAGCCTTTTTGACATATTTCTTACCAGTAACTTAAAATGATTACACACACAAATTAATGTATAAAATTTTTATATTTTAACATTTTATATATCTTCTTTACACCTTTATAAACATAATTTCTTCAATGCTAGTCTCTAATTTTTCCGTGTATGATATTTAATGTAACAATTCCCAAGATGCATGCCCGGCTTGTCGGGGCAAGTATTACAATAATATGTCGTTTGATGCCTTTTTCTGGGTTCATTTTTCTGAGAACAGACTTTGTGACAAGATAAGATTTCAGATAAGAAAATCTTAAGGGTATCATTTTACATTTCATAAGATTATACAGAAAGAGCGTAGGAGCCTGCTTTGAAGAAACTAAACGTAAACAGTTATTGCCGCACATCGAGTTTCTTCATCAAACCTACTGGTGAGCGAGAGTCACGTCTCGAGTTGCGGCATCAAATCGTATGGTGAGTGAGAGTCACCTTTCAAACCACAAGGGTTAATTTGTGAAAATATCTATGGGAACTATGTATATAAATTTACTTACTTATTCCTTTCTTTCTTTTTTTAACCATGGAGGTAAGGTTAATAATATGTAATTTTAGCACCTCTTAATCCTTGAATCAGTATTAAAATGCTTTTCTATAAAATGGCAGGGCATAGCACTTAATTGTTGTAAAATTCGGAATGTTATTCTTTAAACTTGGATGGAATCCCACTAAACATCTTTCATGATTGCAAGTTCTGTATGAGTTATTTTTGTTTATTTAAATTGTTATATATTTTATCTCATCTACAGATAATTTGCTTTAGCGTGTTTTGTATTAAAAGGATGCTAAAACTTGTATACCTTTGCTAAATTACTAGCAGTATGTTAAGAGGATGTATTTTTGATGTTTTAATTGTAACAGAAAAATTTCATTAATAAATTTTATAAAACATCAAATATAATGTAGATAATTTTATGAATATAAACTTCAATAATACTTTTCACATTTACTCTTATTAAATTCTTCAGAAACAGAATCATAGTTATGAAAAATATTTATATTTTTCAGTATCATTGATGCCTTAATGTGAATTAATGCTTCACTATTACATCAGGATGTTTATATTTTTGTTTTTCCCTCCCACAAGGACCACCAGCAGCCAAGCGCTAAAGTTGGCGAACAGTGGTAGTTTCGGTCCGAGGTTCTAATCTTGCGAACAGGCCCGCTGCATAGGCATTCTCTTGGTTTTCTTCATGTGTAACATGTATATGAGCCAGTTTCCCTTAGAAAGTCCTCCATACCTTTGCCTAGGCAGATAGCCATCGAGACTTTGCTGTCAATAAAACCCTCCCTCCCGATATAAAAATGTCGCCAAATGGTGCTGTATAATTGGTATTGTGATGGGAAGGAGCATTTAATATGGGAATGTGTTAGGAAGGAGCAACCGATTAATATGGGCTGAAATCTCAGATGAAATTTGCATTTTTATGTTTTGTTTAGCAAAGGTTTGCTGCCTTTGGAACAGGGTGGCCAAAATAAAACTGGTCCAGAAAAGTGTTTTTGGAATGCACAGAAATTGACTTCAAAAGAGTAAAGAGATCATTAGAAACCGGAACAGATGTTCCTTAGTGATCATTTTACTGTAGCACAATATGGCACTAATGATAAAGCAACACATATTCATTGTTGAATATTATATGAAGCACAGTTTGTAAAAAAATGCATACTGAATTGTTTGTACCAGAGATCAAGAATGGAAGTGTCTTAGCAAAACCTCCGGCAAAATATGCAATGGAAGTCTTAGAGACAAAATGGCATGAAGCAAACACTGTAGTGAGGGACAGTTCTCTTTTTCATTAATAAAGGTCAGTATGGTATCAGAATTACACGAATTTTCCAGGCTAGTTCTATTTTGCCCACCCTATATATCTTGGGTAACATTTTGGAATGAAGCATTAAAGTGACTAATATGCTCATTCATCCCTTGTTGAATCCCTTGAGGACCAATACCCAATTATTGAAGGGAAATTTTCAGTAAATGCTTGGGGAAACCAAAAAGAATCAAAAAGAATATGATGGTCTTCTTTATCATCATATTTCTAAAATCCTATTTGTAGAATATGATGGTCTATTGAAATGTAATCTAAAGTAATGCTAAATTAAATTAAAACTAAAGATGGTAATAATTGAAAAAATAAAAGTAATGTAATAATAACTATATATAAATATGTTTATAAAATTGTTTAAATCAAATTATGTAAAATCTGCTTGATTTGTTTTGTTATATTGTTTGTTTTATACGTCACACATCACCAGGCTGAAATAAAATGCATGTACTCTTGCACAGTTCTGGCTGTAATTATGCAATTCTGCTTGTAATTTTACACAGTTCTGATTTCCATAACTGTCAGTCAATATCCTACATATTTACAAGCATTATCTAATATTATTGCAACAGAAGAAGATGGCAGAGCCAAAGACAACATCTGTGGAGCTGTCGCTCGTTTAATAAAAACTAACGTTAATGGTGTACCTCTAAAGAATGTAAGTAGCTTTTGTTTTTTCAAAGCTTATTTTCCCTCTTCTTAAAATTATTTTTTGATTTTTCTTATTTATTTATATTATCATTGTTTGTTGGACAGATTGCTGCAGAATTGAATAAACATCTTTGCTAGTAATGTGACTTATTATGTGATAGCTGAATCAAGAACATTTTTATTGAGCTAGTCATTTTGTATCTGTTAGAAGGAAACATTCCATGTTGAGTAGAACTCTGTTGTTGGCAAAAAACTTTTATTTGGCATTAGGTTGAATTTGCCTGTTGTTAATTCTATACTCTGTTGTCTGCAGAGAAATCTTTTGGCTGTTGTATAATAAAACATATTATTATTAAAAATAGTTGTTTCAAATGTTATAAATTACGTACTTCAGTGCAGAACTATGTATTTTATACCTAAAAAGTATTTAATAGAATTAAACAATCGCAAATAAGTTTTATCATTTTAAATCTTATTTATATTCCTGTGCTGCAGTAGATGATACAGGGCTCCATACCACTACACTAAATTGAATTAAATGCATTAAATTAAGAGTATATATTTGACTGTAGTGTATATGTATGTGTACGTACTCTTGTAAGAGTTTATATTTGACTTTTTGGTATGTCTTTCCCCACTTGCAAATTCTGTAGGGGCATACCTTGTTTCAAGCACCCTGGGTAATAAATATTTTTGGTGATAAGGTAGATAAGTGAGGAACAAGCATGGCTATTTCAACTTGATGCTTTTGAGCAAAGGTGCAGCCATAGGGGCAAAAATATCTTATATTGTTATTTATTCCCTATTAAGATTTCTGTATCCTTATATAGAATTAGCATTATTCTTATGTTTTTAGTAAACTGGTGATAGAAATCTCCGCAATGTATGTTAAATGATTTGAAAATGTACAGAAATTTTGGATCTAAAAAGTGTGATTTGAAGGATTTAATGTGTTAAAATATTATTCATTCTTGAAGGCTACAGATTAGCAGTGGTATAAAAGTGGAAAAAAAAGATTCTGTAATAAAACATCAAGGATAAATTTAAGAAAGAGGTTACTTTTATTTTTTAAATGTTGAAGTGTAATTTCTTCTTGTTAGGAAAGTCAAGCACTGAAATATCTTATGGTTGTGTATATATTGGCATTAAAATTATGAAGACTTTATTTTTGTTTAGAATAACTTGTAAGAAACTCGTTTTTAAAAGTAAATGTTATCACAAAAAAGCATACAAAATAAATTATCGGTGCTTCATATATTATGCTTATAGTCATGCATCCATTATTATGGATTCATTTAAATTTAAAACTAACGAATTGTGTAAAATGTTTCGGAAGCAATAAATGTAATTTTTTCCCATAAGCTGGTTGCGACAATATTCACAACATGTCGTTGAGAAAGATTCAGAAAATGTATTGCAGTTTTTATGAAATATTTGTATAAATTATGTTATCAGTTTTGTGTGAAGGGGTTATATCTTCAAGCTATTCCAGTTTTATATCCCATATGCATTTGCTTTGTAAACTGTGATGCTGTTTTTCGTAATTGGTATTTTCAGGTAAATTTTAATTTTATTCTTTCATTTTGCTTTTAGGTTTTTCCTGTTTTGTTGCAGTCTTTACCCCTGAGAATAGATTTTGAAGAAAATATTACAGTTTTTGAATGCATAGCATACTTATACAGCATTCGTTCTGAGGAGGTTTGTGCTCTTTTGCAGTTATAGTTTAATCTTCCCCCACACTTACTTTACAAAATTATGATATGCATGCTACTGTAAACTTCTCTGTGCATACATACATGAGACGTAGTTAATAATATGCAGGGTAGCCAAATATTATGGCTTTCATGTAATTTAAGTTTGCAATTGAAATTTTGATGGAACTTGTTGAGAACCAAAATCTGAAATTTAATTAAAGGGTTCACATCTACATGACGTAGGGTGTTTTCGAAAGTCCAGGAAGACAAAAGTCATTCAAAAAAACATGGAAACACTTTACTGAAGCATATAAAACCCATAGAAGAACAGGCACAACAACCAATATGTTCTTTCATGTCCTAAACTGAAGACTTAACTCTAATTCTCATACATTTTAGAAGCTGACGTCACTCTATCCCATCTTTGCAACATTCTTAAACTTAAAACGTGTAGTTGAATAAATCCAGTCTTTTAGATGCTTTTATGCACGTAATCTTTCCTTTATTGCCTCAGGTAAATAATAGCATTGAACTAAATGAATCAAAAACTTTTCAGAATTTTCAATTTCAGAATAAGAAAACTTAGGGTTTTTACACTTGATAAGAGTTTGCCAACAATTATTTACAGATTTTAAATCTCGAGAAAACACTTGAATTAATGTATCATAATTTAATATATTGTTTATATGCCAAAAAGTCAGGAATCAGTAGTCTCCATTTTAATCTTTTTTTTTTCTTTTTATGAATAAGTTGACTATAAATTTCACCAATTGGTCAACATTTAGAATATTTTTTTTCTCCATGAAGGCCCTTGCCACCATTTTGGAAGCAGTCATGTCCCAAGCAGAACAGCTGCACGACAGTAAATCAGTGATATTCATCTCTGGAGCATGCTTCAGAGTTTGTCAGCTGACAAATTTCTTTAACTTGATTGTTCACAAAAATTGGCCAGTTTCCCAGCAATCCACCAGATGGATGTAGTAGAATCAGACCAAAGTGTTATTTTAAGATTTGGTAGACGAAGTTCTTTGGTACTAGAAAGTTCGTTGGTACTCCTCTAGACTTTGTTCTTAGGAGAACGAACTTCATATCAGAATTAACTATTGATCGAGGTAAGAAACATTGGAACATATGGCCGTTTGCATATGACCATCAACAACTTTGCATATGACCATGATAACATATGACCATCAACAAAAACATGCAATTCAGAAAATGAATTAATTTCCATATAAGGTGGTGAAGTTATATTTTCTAATTCATATATATTTTTATACCATTTTGAGAATTTATTCATGATAACTTGCTGTAATGCACAACCCGAAGTTATTTTAGACTCTCGCAAATTTTGTAACGGTAGCTTCGGAAGCAATTTTGTTGGACGTTAACAAGCCAAGAGGATCAAAAATCTTTTTGTACTATTGACAAAATTCAAATCTTGCTTATTGTCATTTCACATGCCAGTGGCTTTAAATTAGTATAATATCTTAAAAGTGTCATTATTTATATCTCAGATTATCTCTAAAATGGAAGTTTTTGCAGAATACATTTTTACGAGCAACATTGCTCTCAAAGCCATGCAAATTAAAACAGCCTGTAGACATGTTGGCTTTGTTCTTTAAAGTGAACTTTTTTGTTAATATTAAAAACTCCAGTTACACAATTGTCCACATAGAATGAGTTTTTCACTTTTTGAGCAGTTTCATCATAAGGCAGGGATGCATTGCTGCAAATAAGGGCTAGAGCAAACTCCAAATACAACTTGACAGTGTATATAAATTTCTTGTTCTTCATTATATGAGGGGGGATCTTAAAAAATCTGTGTCTTTGGGTACAACAGCATCAAAAAACTTTTTCAGTGTCAGCACTTATACCAATTGGATACACTCTAAAACAATTTATTTACCATTTCTATGAGATTAAGTCCTTTAAACAAACAATCATTTAAAGAGGGTTTCCTTATCTGAGAGCTAGAAGCGTCAAATTCAAGCCAATTTTAGAGTTTTATTCAATAATTTAATCATTGGCCTGTGAGGCAAATAATGACATTCGTTATTCAATTCAATTTCTGGTATACATTCATCAATATTCAGTTTTTCCCATTCCTATAATACTTTTAGATAACTATATAAAAGTTTGTTACATTTTAAGTTATTAATCACTTTTTCTTACCTCTTCCAGGATAGTTCTTTATTGTTAGCACCACGTTTCCATAGCGTTTATAGTTCATATTTCCCATCTAGAAGAATTTTAATTCTCCCCTCCCAAAAAAAAATTGGTTAAAATGTCTTTCTTATTAAGATTGTGGAATTAATCAGCTATTCCTAAAATGTCAAGTTCCCATAAGGCACTCAGAGGAATATTTCTAACATCCATAGATAAAGTAGTTAAAAAATTCAAAGTAATTTTTTCAATTACTGTCCACCTGAGTTTAGTTTTCACAGCTGAAAGACTTTAATCTAGCTCAATTAAGTTCTCAGTTTCCCAAAACATCAGCTCCAATCAAAAAGTCAGTCTTGCTTTGCTCACAAAAACAATCTGTTAAATCTATTTTGTTTCAAGTCCTTTAAAATTTTACAATTCTTAATTTTCAAAATAAATCCGCATATCTTTTTCTCCAAAAGAACTTTTAAAACTGCAAGTATATGACTTCAATAGAAAATACTTTTTTCTTCAGTTTTGTGTAATCTCCCCCAAACATCATAGTACAGTTTCATTCCTTAAATGGAAGAATGCTCTATAATGTAGTATTTCTTTTGTTTATTCAATTACTTTGACTAGCTGAATAATGCAAAGTGACAGTAATCCTTTGCTCTTGACCATGTGCCCGAATGATTATGCAAAGAGTTTGCAAGTAAGCAGTTCACTTCTGTGGCAGTTAGAGAGGGTATTCTGTGTTTTACATACATTCTGTTTTTATTGTTTAGGGCATATATAATAACGAAATGAGAATTATTACACTGAGAACAGTTTGCTTTTAACATTGAAAATTAATTACCTTTACTGTTTAAATGACCTTTCTTAAGACATAGAAAACATGTCAAATCATTAATTATTATTATATCGCATTATTAAACATTCTTTAATAATAATTGTTTTTATAACTTTAAATCCGTTTTCTTGCTTTAAAACATCTTTTGCTGGGGGAGGGCTTATCACAAAAAATACAGTTACCTCGTTTAAACCTCTATTGTTATCAATGCAAGTTCAGCTTCCTTTGTTTTTTCAGGAACAGAGCCCTTATTTTTAAAATTTATTAGAGAACCAGAACCATTTCTTGCTAATGACAACATTTCTTACCCTGAACTTCTTGGTGGAGAAAATTCATCAGATCTTTTAAATTAAGGACTTCTTGGCATCGCTTGACTTGTAATTTCTTCTTCTTTCCAATGGAAGCAGAATTTCGTCCATGAGGTGGCTTTCCACAAATGGAACTAGAAAAATTCCCAAACTTTTCTTGCATTCTTTCTAACTCTTCAAAGCTCTCAGTTTAGCTTCTAGTTTACTGTCTTATAAAACTGTCAAGTCATCCTTGGTTTGTTCAGTCATAACATTCTAAATAACCATGCTTAACAAATGTAAATGTGGACGAACGAATCATTTTTTTAACTGTCTGATGGCCTTTGGCTAATCCTTCGCTATTGCTGTCATTGAATTAGATGCTCAGCTTTCGATTTTGGCTCCACAGATTGCAGTAGGTACTGCATCTTATCTTTGTCAGTTTGAAGCTGTCTTAATGAATCTTCTGAAATAGGCAAGTAAGAAGCTAATAGGCAAGAAATAGCTGAAAAGACAAGCAATCCTTTGGATCACCTGAAAATTTGTTCACTTCAGTTTTCAGTAATTATTATTAGTATTATAATTTATAGAAGCTTCTTTTGATTGTTTTTATGTTTTAGCACAAGTTTCTAAATGCTTATCTGTGTTTCTTGTTATGATTACATAATTTTGTATAAAATATACATAAGGATGATATATACATTTTAGTGTCTAATTAAGATAACGGCTATATAAATAATTTTTATTTTACTTTTTTCAGTTTTTTCACAACTTGCCATTGGTCCTCAAAGTGGTGTCAGAAGCTCTAATAAGTCAAAAATTAAATGAAAGTAAGAATAATTTTTATAAAAAGATTTCTTTTTATTTGTTTGAAATTTAATTTTTTAACTCATGAAAGCAAGTGTGACTGTTTGCAGTATGCAGACTCAGACTGTCTAATTATCAATCAACTCTGTAAAGCCCTCAGACTGATTGATTATCTATTAATATTTGAAAACCTGTGCACTATAGCATCTTTAAAGAGAAAGTGTTGCGAAGTGCGCATGGCATAATCTTTGATTTCAGTCTTTTTAATTTACTATATACCTCAAGTATATGTGACTAAATATCTATTCTTGTTGAAAAACCTGATTTCAGTAATTTCGGTACGCATTTCCTTTTATAAAGATACAGGTTTGCATGAGTTTTCGAGTGTTACGCTGGATTTGAGAAGTCATATTGCAAATTTCTCTTTTTCTCCCCCCTTACCAAAAGGGATTTTATGTTGTTAGGAGACAAATTTAAGAAAGAGGCATCTAATTGGTGGGAAATTTGCATAATAGATGTGATTATCAAAAAGACCTGAAAATGATTATTTATTCACTATGGTATTCATGTGTACTTACACCTCTTGAAAATACTATTGAAAATGCACTCTCTGCCTATCCAGTGATAAATTAAATTATGCTTTTTTGAAGAATATTGCAAGCATGCCAGCTGGTTTCTGATCAAGAGAAATTTGTACTTGTTTTGGATGGAAATAGCTAGTGATGCAAATATGAAATTGATAAGGAAAAATAAATTCGTCCATATGTAGGGTTCTAAGAGCCTTTACACAGGGTTCGTAGCAGTTCTTACAAGTGCTTATAAGTCCTTATATTTGAAAATAAAATATAAAGGCCCTTATAGGTGTTTACTTTTTCTTTAAAACCCTTATTTTTTGTTTTTAGGGCTTTTTTTAATGAACGCGTATTTTGCCCGGTACCAAAGCCGAAACTAAATAAACAACCTTTCTTCCTTATATGGAACGTCAGGTGGTGAATCATACTCCCGGAAATAGCTTTTCTCCCTTTCTCTGCATTAACGTAACCTATGGTGTGCGCCAGAGTACAGACAAGTGTACCTCTTTCTATTGGTCAAAGAATTGTGAAAACCGTAAAAAAGTCCGGTACATTCGGTATTCTTTTCCTCCCACCCAGATACTACACGTTTGGATTTCTATCAAGATTTTAATAATTTGCATTCTCGTTCCGCGTGGTCAGTTCATATTCGTGTTTATTATTATCGTTATGCTTATATTATGAGCATATGTATGAATATTTATAATAATATAGTTGCAGTAGCTGCTGAAGTGTAGATAAACTTCCAAAAATGGGTGTACTTTTACACAGATTAGCTTTCTAAGGAATAATATTCGGAATGGCTTAAATAAAAGGAAAGTAATCGAATAGTCAATTTTTTCCTCCAATACATTATACAGTACGGAGGATGGGAGGTTTTTCCCTTTCTGCGCAAAGTCTCTAATATTGAAGCAGCAGACTTTTTTTTTTTTTTTTTTTTGTCATTGTCCAGTCTGGATTCAATAGGACTAAAAGTTCTGCGGTCTACCTAACCCAAGCGAAGAATGATTCTATTCTGGAAATTTAACGTAGTCTGTTCAAAATTAGAATCAAAAACACCCCAGATTAGTAGGTCTCTTTTCCTGTATTTAGTTCTTTATTCTCCGAATACCGGAAGCTGTTGATTCCGATTGCGTAATATTACGTATGGAAGAATTATGCCGCACGTATTTTGCAATAACGTTTGCGGTATTTTGCAAAGATAATTAATTTTGATGTTCAATCTAAGATTTATTTATGAACACTTAAGAGTTTTACTGTGCTTTCTAAGCAGAATATTTCTCAGTTCCGTTGGTCTATTTTTATATGATACACATATCGAAATGTCAAAATCATTTACTTAGCCGAGAAATCTAAAGAACGGCTACAATCTGCCCCCTCCTCTTTTTCCAGTTACCCTCGACTATACGGAATATTCGGCAATTTCCGAGTTAAGCTTTTGCTGTTAAAGGATGACTGCATGAAGCAATTTCCCGTCTCCTGATTTCAGAAATGTTTCTCTTTTTTACTTAAATTACTTTGCTTGGAATATATGTTACGGGAAAACTGTTATGCAATGAAAATTTATAAAATGTTCAGAATTTTGATTTAAGTTAAATTATTTAAATATTAATATGAGCGGAAAAATAAATTGTATTTATTATTAGGTTGCCAAGTGAATACACTATATAGCCTTATTATTATTTATTTTTCATTTTTGAGCTGAAATTTCATCATTAATCTTGTATAGTTTATTTCTGCATAGTTTTTTCTCTCCTCATTGTAAACTATTCTGTAAATTGAACTGTCATTTAAAATTTTTTAAAAAAAAAGTTAATTGTTTTCCATGGTTGAGGTAATGCTCATTCTCTTAATAAATATTGCATTGCTCATATTTTAAATTGCAAGTCTAATTTTTCTTTTAAGGTTATGCAGTTGTGTATAATGCAATTAGACAGGTGCTTATTTTTTTTCTTAAAATGTGCTTGAAAAGTGCTTATAAGTGCTTATTTTTTTAACTAAAATGTGGCTATGGACCCTGAACAAGTGTCTGGCAATTGGTACAGATTGTACAGCTACACTACATATCATAGTTGAAGAAGTAGGCTGTATTACACTCATGATCACTCATATGATTAATTGGCTGGAGTACTGCAAAATTTTTGCAAAGTGTCCATTGTTTCAAATACCTTTAACTCTTTGAAGACCATATCAGCCCAGGCGGCCCTTCATTCAAAAGACCAAAACCGCCCCAAACGGCCGGAATTCCGATGTTGTTTTCTTCCCTTCCCTAAAGTATGCAATAGCAAGTGCAGTTTCCCCAAATGCATTGTATCAGTTTATTGCAGACAGCTTGTCCTAAAAAGATATATTTATGGTTTCTTATTTTTATTTGTTAGAAGTAGAAAGGATGTCATTTGAACCCTTCACACTTCTTTCTGCATTAATGGATGAGGAGTGAAGGAAATTGCTGTGACTCTCAAAAACCATTTCGGACAGTTCTTTAACATACAAGTTAGCGAAGGCTTTGGGTTTTAAAGAGTTAATTGTATGTCACAAGCACCTTTGGTTGCACTAGATGGTCACCTTTGTTGCATTTTTGTCAGCTATTGAAAGGACAACACATAACACAGTTATAACATTGCAGTTTCAAAAATGCCTGGGTCTTCTCTATGTCCACTTCTTCCTTGGCTGCAAATTCACTTTTTTGCCTCTTGAACATATCTATTCTATGACACTGCATACAACGCTCTTAACTATAAGATGAACTTTGAGACTGTGACAAACTCACATGGATCAAAATACCTGAAACAGATGTCTAACAATTTTTTCTTTATGGTGTCATACATTGATTAGTCAGACTGAAATGTAATTGTAATCATTTCATCCCTGTTATATGTTTGCTCATCAGAGTTACCTGTATAATGATTATGGCTTTGGTATTTGTTTTTGTTATTGTAATGCACTGTTAATTCCAGCATTGTGTTTCTAAACCTTAAGGTTTTCTACAGCACTACCATTGCATACTTCAAAGGTTGCAGAACTTACCTCGAAAGTGCCTCTTTTTGACAAATACAATATTTGTTAATGAAAATTTGTGAACTGAGGTATAGACACTAAATTCATTAAATTGTTAAAAAACTCAAATCTAGCCTCAATATTTGCATAAATGTATGTTTAAATTTTTGTACATGAATTGTGTATGTGAAGAGACTGAAACAAGATGCACTAGAGATGTGAAACAGCTCAGTAAGAGTAATATAAAAAATTCCAAAACCAGGAGACTTTTTCTCTGTGTGCATTATTTAACTATATTTTGAATTTTATTAGCTTTTCAATATGGAAAAAGAAATTACAGAAGCTATAGTAGTCAATTTTGTGTACTAGAAGTTTTTATATAATAAATGTATGAATACATTATACGAGTCCTACCATCCACGAGAAATCCCATCATCCATGTGCTAGCCTAAAAAACACTATAAAAATCAAAATCAGATATAACCTTTACTAATTCAAATTAAGAATAAAAAAAGACAATGGGAAAATTTAATATGTATATTATTGAAAGGTTGTAATACTGTATATAACAGTTTTATAAATATTTCTGTTGTTAGAATGTGTGTGACAGCTTTAACTTCTAAAGGAATTGTTTAATGCAGTTTAATGACAGTTGGTATTTATGTGTTATTGCAACTACCTTAGTAGAAGTCATAAAAGTTTCAGAATGTGCGAAACTTTGGCAACCATGCATATAACAATTCTACAATTCTTGTAACAATCCTTCGGTCAAGCAATATCCTAGTTTTCAAGTGCATTTTGTTGCACTCCGACGGCATTTGTAAATAGATTATGGTATTTTATGCCTTAATCTTAATTTTAAAATACACACTTGTGGGATTTGCCAAGGTGGGAAAAATTGCAATAAGATTTCTTCAGGGACGCAGAATTTTGATGCAAAATTTCGAAAGGGAAGAAGGAGGTGGTGCGTTTAGTAGATAGCGTATGTTACCAGAGTTTGCAAGTTGCCACATCTCTGATGTTTTTTCAAGTGTAAACAAATTACTATGTACTTGGGAGAAGAATGGTCAAAAAAATTACAGAAAGATTTGGAGAAAAAGGTATTTTAATTTTTTTTACTTTATCATGTAATATTTTAATAATTAAATTTGTATTTTAAATTACTAATGTACATTACTTTTTCATACATTGATAATGTTTGCCAGTTTACAATAAACAAAAATTATTTGGAAATCTTAAAAACCGCCAGCTTGCATCCGACTTCCATAAAGTAACTTTTACCTTTTCATTTGTAAAAAGTTACCAAATTGCACCAAGATAGTTGTGTTAATATGCAAGTGCCACTGCTCAGTAAAAGTGTTTAATAAAAAAAATTGGCAATTGGTATAACTGATTAAAATTCACATTAAAGAATACAAGCAAAAATAGTTTGTGTTTTATTTGTACCTTTAGATGATGATAATTATTTAGATTTATAAATATTTTATGATTAACAATAATTTGGTTGGAAAGAAAGGCTGTAAATTGAAATTTTAATATTATTTCATTATTTTTAAAACCTACAAGTAATATTAACAGTTGAGTCTTAGATGAGCTAAATTTGAATGAAATGTGTGCATAATATTTTATAGCAGGAGAATATTAATTTTTAAATACAAAATATCATATTTTTAAGTGTTAACAATGTTTCAGTTTTTTCTCCAATTAATATTCAACCCTCACAAACAAAAATCAGAATAAAGCCATCAATTTAACTAACTGAAGTTATTGTAAAAGCTTACAGCTTTAAAAAAGGGGAAATTAAATTATAGCAAGTCTTAATGATGCTGTAGAGTCCATCATATTGCCCCAAATAGAAGACTGCTGTACATGCAAGGTGACAATCTATTTTGAATAGCTTTTTACGTGGGAGGTCGGGAAAAGGAAAAATGCAAATATAAGTTGGTGTCATGTGCATCAATTTGCATGTTGAAATGGTTGAGTTAAAAAGATTAATAAATATCATCTGTATATAGTGAAACATCTAAGGACAGTGAACTCTTGTGAATTTAAAATAGAAGTTTTGCTAGTCTGTACAATTTTGAACACAAAAAAGTCTGTTGTAAATGTGATTTTTTTATTTTTAATAAAAGTTAAGGAATAAATGAAAAGATTTTCTTGATATGTTTTCAAATGCTAGGTTTTTCATATTAGATAGGTATGGAATAGGAGATAAGAATGAGAGAAAGTCTTACATTTAAGTGAATATAATATTTTGCTTATATTTTCAATATGTATTCATAATTTAAAATTTATTTTTTATACAATTATATTAAATTATAGATATTCAGTTAAGGTATTTGTAAGTGATTTTATGCATAATTTGACTTTTTTATTTATACACAGCTGAAATTCTATTTCTCTTTTTTTTTTTTTTATAGAAACAACTGTTGTTATTAGTTCCTTATTGAAGAATATATATACAGAACTTCCTAATGAATTTGAAACTGTAGTAAAATCACTTCCACAGAATAATGCTGAAGCTCTTATAAAAGCAAAATCTATGTAGGAATGAAATTAATATTGTAAATAAAATTTGCATGGAGTGTCTTTTACAATAAAGTATATTTAGAAATTTTTGTATTATTTAAAATATTAGTTTTTTTTTTTTTTTTTTTTCCTTCTTCTCTTCATTTTATTTAGAAATTGTTTTTAAAAGTCAGCACTGGAATTGCAGAACTGAGTGATATGATGTTTAAATATTTGAGTATTGAATTCACTGATCTTGAAGACTGATTATCTTAAATTTTTGTATAGAGTTTTGCTTAAGCTGAAAACTATGGAATATGCTTCAGTTCATAGGTGTGGCTTAAATTAAACATTTTCCACTTTTTGTACTCAAATGTAAAGTTGAGATCTTGATCCATGGGTGTTAAGGACTAATGTGGTGTTCATGGGCAGAAAAAATAGCTTGATGTTGCTTAGGTTTTTCAAAGTTAAGGATGAATTGGGTCCACAAAAAGTTGAATTTTTCTTTCTTTCATTTGCGGCTCTTACAATTAAGGATTGTATTTCCCTATTGTGCAAAAAAATCTCAGTAGGAGAGTGACATAGCGAGCAACTGGTTCTCTTCTACTGCTGCCGATGCGGGATTGTGAAGTGTTATTCACGAGAGCCTGTTTCGACCGAATCTCTGAGGCTTTTGCCGAGCAGAATAGATAGAAACTCCTTCTTCACACCACCTACCTACATTTTGACATCAAACTTCAGTACAAAAACCAGTGAGAATGCTTTGTATGAAATATCTTAATTTTAACTTTCTGAAAATATCATAGTAAACAATGCCTTTTTTTGGGGGGGCAGCTTTTTATAAATATTATATGAATTTTGAAAAGAAAGATGGTTTCAGATAACTTCTTTGCAACTGGAAACGTTTGTGGGGAAAAGGCAGAGAATTCAGTTCTGATAAATTAATGAAATTTGGGAGCAACTGAATGTTCACTTAACTCTTTGTGACACCTAAAAATTTCCTTCTGTATGCATAGAAAAATTGAATGAAAAAGGATATAAAGGTTACTATAGGTTAATCTGAACCTTCTTTATTTATAGTAGATGGTAGCTCAACACAAACCAGTCCATATATTTTAGCCATGTTTAGTTTTTTTAAGACCCTCATTTTTTAAAGAAATCTTCCAGATTTTTTTTAGGGTATAAAATGAATTGTTTGAAAAGAAATTTCTATGTTATTTTTTTGGCTGTATGCTAATCTCCTTATTCTATATTAGTTTTAAATTTTTATCTTGAAATCTTGCCTAAAATGGAACGGTGAACCCGAGGTGTACCCTAGGCACACCAAGACTCTAGGACAACTGAGAGACTGTATTCATTGTTTTTCCGCATGTCATCGGTCAGTTCATTGACAACAGAAAGGTGGGTCCACATCTGTGTTTCATTTCCTGTTTTTCTCTTTCTTCTTTTCTCTCTCTCTTTTTTTTGAGGGACTGGAGGGGATGTTTGGTTATTAACTATCAAATTGTTGGGGTGTTTTTCTGAAGGTTTTAGCCGTTTGGTTTTTCACTAGAGCAGTTCTCTTTTTCTCTTTCGCTTTCGTTCAAAGTTTCATTAGTGCTACGTTTAGTAGTTTTGAATTGTAGACGTTTATTTAATTTTGTTTTACAGTTGTAGATATAATATTAGTTTGTTTTTGAATTTTTTAATTATTTTCCTAATGGATCGGAGAGGGATTTCTGAAGCACTGAAAGTGCTACACAAATTGCTTCAGATAGTGAATCTGATACAGATCCCGGTACATGTGCAAAACATACAATATTGGGTTGTGCCTTTTCAAAGGTAGTGTCACTTTGTTTGAAAAGTACCACCATGAAAAAAATAGACTAAAGTGTAAATATGAAATGTAAATAATGTAGATATCATATACCCAAATTACATTTTTTCCCATTCATATGCATGTAATCATCATATAACCAAAAAAGAGCATTTTATTGGGTTGTAGAGTAGTAGGTCTCCCCGTGGCACACCCTAGGTAATGCTAAATCTGCTACGGTATTCAGAATCTAGTGTTTTTTTAATTGTAGGCAGAATCTCTTACTCTTTTAAGCACTTCCCAGCAATGCTCATTTCAGCACTCTTTTCAAAGCTATATTCAATCTGTGTGCCCGCTTCGGGCACATCCACAGAATTAAAACGATGAGTGACGTAAGATTTCACAAAATTTTATTTGTGTACTCCTCTAGGCCTAATTAGACTGCCTACCTTTTTGTTTTATCGAAATTCCAACTTTAAAAGGTAGCATGCCGGAAAGGGTTAAATTCTGATAGCTGGGCTCCCATAAAAATCCCTCAGCAATGTTAGAGAATACATATGTCTTCACTGAGAGATTACGTGTCTTTAACACTTCTTTACTTACAAATATCAGTTGTAGAAATTCATGTACATTAGAAATTATTCAAGGAAAGTGTAACTCGATTCTTTATTTGTGACCTCTCTGCATGAGAACAAATTAGATTATGAATAAACAGCATATGGCATTAATAAGCAGACAATTTTTATATAAGTTTTTATTATTGTTCAGGTTGCTTATATTAATTTCCATCATGAACTTGTTTGTAATGAGCGTATGATGGTACAATGTAAATAGTATATATTATGTACTTAAAATGAAATTTTGTTTATTTGCAGTCTTTAAAGCACTAAGTTTTTGACAGAATTTGCTTTATAAGTGAATTTTGTATTTTTTATATTGTGTACAGTTTATCACGTAAAAAAAATTTCTAAATTCCTTTCAGATTTTAAAATATAGTGATTTGGATGGTCAATGAAGTGTATAAATTTTTCAATGACCAGAATATATCTGTTATGCTACCAAAGTATATTTATTGTAAGACTAAATGGAAATTTCATTGTTTCTAGTTACTATGAACATGACAAAAGTTTGGAGCATAATTTGATGATATATTCAAACATAAAATTATGTATCAGTTGAATGATCAGTTTGGTGTTTTAAAAATTCAGGTGGCAGGTAGGCTGAACTTAATGCATTGCTAAGTTGAAATGCACATTTTAGATTTACGTGCGAGGCAACATTGACCATTTTCCTGCATACTCTTTGCTTTTATTCCCTAGAGACTAATTTAAACTATTAGCATTCAACACAACAATTCGTTTTTATACGCTTTGTTCAGAATAGACATTGCAAACAGCACGGTGCAGAAATTCACAAGGGTTGTAAAGAAATATTGAAGAATTAAAAAAAATGAGTGAACATAGACAAACATTTTTTCTTTCCAAATGCTTATATGACAGAATAATAATAAATTTAAAATGTTGAGATACAGTTTCATACTTATGAAGATGCATTTGTCTTATATTAGACTGTCACTCGTTAAATATGAGTTTTTAATATGCAGGAATGAAACAAAATAAATATATAGTTAACTTTTATTTTGTTAAATTACTATTCTTAAGAGAAAATTCTAATAGTTAGTATTCTAGCCTACCTGATTATAATTTATCAATGTATATTTCCAATTCACGTTGTTTTTAGAATGACCAAAAAATGTAACATTTGCAGCAAAGCTGTCATTGTTAACAGAGAGCGAAGGTCATGGGTGAAGCCTCTCCAAAACATAAGCTCTCTGAATTAGAAGAAAGAGTTTTGAGTATTGCCAGGCGAGTCATCGTAACATGTGACAATATTATTCCTTAAGGTGTCTTTCTTCGCATGTAATTTATCAAGAACGTTAAGAAATAATAATTTAATTATTTAACATTTTAAGAAAAATTATCTAAATAACAAAGATTTAAGAATAGTCAATATAGCTTATTATTTTCATTATATTTAACAATAATAATGTTTTCAAAAATATCATCACATAAAATTTATTTGTAAAAAAAGTACATAGTAAACTAGGATGATTTTGATCCTTGTGCAGCTGGCACTTTTGAAAAATGATATTTAGTTTTTGCATTCTAGGCATGCTTTAATTGCAAAAGTGGTGTTTACTTTTTTACATTCTAGGCATGCTTTAATTGTTAACAGAGTAATGGAATTTAACATCCTGCACTTTTTATATTTCTATCTAAACAAAGTACTATTAGTTTTCGTGTGCACAGAATAGTTTTAAACTGAATAAGATGCTTTTAGTAATTCTATTAGAAAAGAATTTTAAGCTACAGTGAAGCTTCCGTTCAAGAATGCAATTCGTTCCTGATGGCCGCTGGTAAATAGAAACTACTTTTTATTGGAATTAATGTAAAATGTATTAATTCTTCCTTTACCACAGATGATTGCTTATTTCAACTTTACAACAGTACTTTGTGCACGTGTTCATAATACTCATCCGACTTTCACTTCACTCAAATTTGTCCATTGTGATTTGTTATTGTCTGCACTTTTCTGAAATGAAACATTGCCATAAAAATGATTAGGTGTAGTTTGCTGCTTATTGATAAAGACAGTATTGTTCCTTGAATATTTTGCATCTTTCAGCGTTTAGCAATTTTGGGACTAAAATCCTTTTCCGTGAAGGATCCCTGTACCTGAAGACATTTATTCCACAGCTTCTATTTGTGTTGCTGTTTTTGAAGTTGTTCAATTTCTTTTTATTGTTCATTTTTCTCGTCGTCTAGAAATTTCTCCAGATCTTCATTAACAACTTCCAAGCCCATGAATTTGTCTTGAAGCACCATATCATAGATAACAAAAAATTTCTCCGGCAAAGCCCCTTGAAACTGCCTGCAACACAATCGTGCCATAATGTCTTTCAGACCTTTTTTATTATTCTGTAAATCATATGCTACATAGCTTTGTTAATGAGAGTATTAAAACTACAAAAAGTATTAAAATGGTCCCCAAATGTCAATTCTATGTTGGAAATAACATCAAAACACTTTGAAAAATCATTTCCTTTTGCTTCGTGTGTTCGGAACTCGGATGCCATTCACCGTCCGAGTCATATTTTTGTTTAGATAATTTGTTCATCATCTGAGGTTCCGCTGTAATATAATTTTATTTCGTTTGCAATTAACAGAAATTAAAATCAATTTTTTTGTATTGTTTACTAAAAACATGTATTTTTTTTCCTCACTTCACAGAAACTCATTTTGAAATTTATTCTAAACCATAA